GCCCGGGGCTCCAGTTTGCCACTCGTGACCTGGCTAAAAATGAGGTCACTGAGTCTAAATTCCAGATCCAAGTTCTTCCAGCCTATCACAACCTTTCTCTGATCAAGAGTCTGGAGCAGGAACAGATGTTCTGGTTAAATTTAGCTGATGTCTATTTGTTTTGTCCCAGTAAGATTGTGGAGGGTGAGAACTGATGTTCGTATTTTTTTTCAAGTGCTTACTTGTTCATTGGGCCACGCTTGTGGTTGCTTGGGGCTTACTTCTGGCTCTGTGCTCAGGAGTCGCTCCTAGCTGGGCTCAGACCTCATCTTGGGTGCTGGGGACTGAGGCCGAAGCCAGTTGATTTCAAGGCAAGCTCCTTGCCCATCGCACGGTCTCCCTTAGCCTACACTTTAGTAGGTTCATGGTCGGCTGGCCCTTCCTCTGAGGCTGCTGGGAGCTTGTGTTTGTTGACTGCCCCCCAACCTGTCAATTCCTTTTTCTCCCGATCGGACTCCGATTTGCAAATATTGTCTTTCTCTTCTCCTTACTGTCCTTTGCATGGTTAGCTGTTTCGGAGCGATTGCTTTTCGTAGGGATACAGGAAGACAGTTAAAAAGACAAGCCGGTGGCTTGGGAGTTGACTGACTCCAGATAAGATTACTTCCTGAACATCTGCTCTCTCGAATGAAGCCTGAGTTGCCCTTACTTCCCAGATCCCCCAAAGCTGGGGATGTGGATGAGGGACTAGATGGACTCAGGGCAAGCTGTGAGCTACCCTGGCATCGAAATGGGCCTGGTCAAAGTGCCCTCATGCTTAACTTTAAGTTAAGAGCATGGTCATGGACAAATTCTGTCCTGATCCAAAAAGATTTGGACCCCGCTGGGGTTAGAAATGATTAATCCTGCCTGAGCACTGTAGTCTGAGTCTGTGGTGAGATGTCCCCAAGAGAGCCACCCTATGAGCCTAAAAGTATCTAATACTGTGTTCATACAGAATGGCAAATATTAGGAAGGAGAATTAAAGGTGTTAATCAAATTACAGGTTAAAGGAGAGAAGAAACACACTTTAAGGGCTGTTTTGCCCTCGTGGGCTACAGGGGGTTGGGAAGACATTCTGATCACACTTCCCGTGGGGAGGCATGCTTGGGGAGGTGTGGAGAGAGAAGAAAAAAGAGAGGGAGACACTGAGTTAGAGAAGGCTGAGAGCTGAGAATTAAGAGTGGCCAGGGAGGTTGGAGAAAAGTCATGAGAGAGTTGAAGAGCGAGTTAGAGAGAGGGTTGGAGAGAGCTGGAATAAACAGCCACCAATCAGCGACCAGCTTAGCCCTCGTCCTTCCTTCGTCCATCCAAGGCAACGGCTGTCTCTGGTGGGGAAGCGGCTTGAGAGCACTGAAAGCGGGCGGCGAGAGAGAGCCGTCAGAGAGCACCGAAAGTGGGCAGCGGGAGAGCCTTCGGAGAGCCCGCAAACATCCTTTAAGCTGTAATGCCCCCTTGCTCGTCTGGGCAAAAGGAGAGTGCGCAGCTCTAGCCTGGGCGGGCCAGGGGGCAGAAGGAAACTTTTACACTAAAGCACCATTTCTGTGCCCAAAAGAAATAACCGTAGAGCAACCAACCTAGTCCACAGGGCTTTGCTCTAATGTGCCGAGTCAAAAGGCCTAAAGAAAGTATTTGTGAAAATATTCAGAAACCTAGGGAGAATCAGAGCCCTTCTGTAAACGTTTTTTAATTTTAAAATATACGGAGTACTATGTAGCTGTTAGAAAAGATGAAGTTATGAAATTTACATACAAGTGGTACAATATGGAAAGTATCATGTTAAGCGAAATGAGTCAGAAAGAGCGGGGTTGCATTCATCTGGGGAACATAAAGTAAGAGAATGGGAGACTAACACCCAGGAATGGCTGAGATTAGTACCAGGAATTTTGCTCCATGACTTGAAAGCCAGCCACACGTGGCAGGGGAGAAGGAAGCTCAGATAGAGAAGGGAGCACCAAATAAAGGGTGTTGTGAGGACCCTCCCAGGGTGGGAGAAGCATGCTGAAAGTAGACTATAGACCAAACATGATTGCCACTCAATGCCTCTCTTGCAAAACACAGTACCCAAAAGAAGAGAGAGAGAACAAAAGGGAATGCCCTGCCACAGAGGCAGGGTGGGATGGGGGGATGGGGGGTGGGAGGGATGCTGGGACCCGTGGTGGTAGGAAATGGGCGCTGGTGGAGGGATGGGTACTTGATCATTGTATAACTGAAACCCAAGCACAAAAATTTGTGAGTCTATAACTGTACGTCATGGTGTTTCACTAATAAAAAAATTTAAAACAATTAACTTTCTGAAACAATAGCTAAATATATTTTTAATATTTATTAATTATAATAGATAACAATCAAATATTATCATTAAAAAATTTTGCTTTTTCTATTAAAAAAATAAATATACTGTCCAGGATTCTATATAATCATCAAAAAGAATACGGCGCATCTACCAGGACTGCGTGGGGTGAATTATAAATAAAGCATTATTGTGAACAAAGGTATAAGAGTTTATGCTTTCAGCTGACTCCTGGCTCTGCACTCAGGCATCACTCCTAGTGGAGCTCAGGGGACCAGGTGGGGCGCCGGGAATTGAACCTGGTTCAGCCACAAGCAATGCAAATGTCCTTCCTGCTGTACTATCTCTTTTTTTTTTATTGCATTTTTAAAAAATTTTACAAAGTCACTGTCACTGTCTTCCCGTTGTTCATTGATTTTCTTGAGAGGGCCCAGTAACGGCTCCATTGTGAGACTTTGTTGTTACTGTGTCTGGCATATCGAATACGTCACGGGGAGCTTGCCAGGCTTTGGTGGGCGGGCGAGATACTCTCGGTAGCTTGCCGGGCTCTCTGAGAGGGGCGGAGGAATTGTACTCGGGTCGGCCAAGTCGGCCACGTGCAAGGCAAACGCCCTACCCGCTGTGCTATCACTCCAGCCCAGGGTTAAATATTTCTGGAAAAACCATCCAGAAAAATGGTAAAAAGAGTTGATTTCCTGGGCAGGAAACCACCCAGTTGAGAAGCCATGGCTGGAAGGAAAAGTCAATTTTTTTTCCTCCAATAAAAAAAATGAAATATAAATACTGTAAGGGCCTGGAGAAATAGTGGAGGCTGGTGTTCAGGCATTTGCCTTGCATGGAACCAACCCTGGTTCAATGCCCAGCACTGCACATGGTGCCCTGAACCCCACCAGGAGTGACCCCCGAGCACAGAGCCAGGAGTAAGCCCTGAGCACTTCTGATCATCAACCTTCCCTCACCCTCTAGGGACATGTTTCAGTGGAAAATGCAATTTTGGACCTTATGCTTTGATCTCCTGCATTGCAAAACACAACTAAACATCTTTTATATATATAATATATACATATATGTATATACATATATCGGGCTGGAAGAATAATAGCCCAGCAGGTAGGGTGTTTGCCTTGCACACAGCCGACCCGGGTTCAATCCCTGGCATCCCATAGGGTCCCCCAAGCACCACCAGGAGTGATTCCTGAGTTCAGAGTCAGGAGTCATCCCTGGGCATCGCTGGGTGTGACCCCCCTCCAAAAAAAACACAAAACAACAACAAAAAATCTTCAAATAACCAATTGTCTGCTTTTCCTTTCCCTTCCTTCCCTCCATCCTTTCCTTTTTTCCAGTCTGCTTATTCCTATTCAGGCTGGAGAGCCTGTCCAGGCATGTGTGTGGGGGTGGGGGGGAGGGGAGGCGGGGAGCGGCCCCGGAAAGGCCCCCTTTCCTAGGTCCCCGCAGAATAGGCCACAGATGGGCGGTGAGTGCAGAGCCTGCGCCTGGCAGAGCCACAGCTGCCGACACAGGCCATGACAGCCAAGGAGGGTCTCGGGACCAGCTCACCTCCAAGGCTCAGTGTCCGAGCAAGCAGGAGTGAGGTCCAGAGGCGCCCGAAGACCTGGTGAGTGAGGGGAGTCGACGGGAGCCAAAGGCACCAAGACACAAAACCACCAGCACAAACCGACCCCGAGTCTCTCCTGGTCCCCCGCCAGCCGCCGCGGACAAGCAAGCACACGCAGGTTCGCTGATATCATTTTATTGTCAGACTTGATTTGCACCCACAAACAACGACTGAGCACGGCTGTCGAGCGGGATAAGGCAAGATCTCTTTCTGCTCTGAGGGTGGGCGGAGTTGGCCTGAGTCCTTACACCGTTTCCGTATAAAAATAAAAGTCCCGGACCAGGTTCTTCTTACCTCTGGTCATCATCAACGCTGCTGTATTTACAGGCGCTTGGCGGGGACCACCCCTCCACACTCCTGATAAGAGACGTCAAGTCTCGGTGTTTAATACGGGGGCTCTTCAAAGGGTCTCTGCGCACGCCGTAGGGAGAGGCAAGCCTCTTCGCCCACCTTCGACATAACTTTATGGCCAAGTAGCCAGGGCAGTCCCAGGTAACCTTCAAAGAAGTGTGTGTGTGTGTGTGTGTGTGTGTGTGTGTGTGTGTGTGTGTGTGTTTTAACTTAGATCTCTGAGCGAGTCATGACTCCAAGGCCTGGAGGCAGGTGCTGCAGAGCCGCTGAGAAACCCAGCGCCCCAAGGCCGCAGACCTGACCAGTAGACAGCAGGCGCCGAGCGGGCGCAGACTTGGCTCTGTGTCAAAGCAGCCGAGTGGCCTTTCTGAAATCCGGCCGCCGCCCGCCCGGCAGAGCCTGGGTTCTGGCCCGTCACCAGAACCGCCTTAGAGAGGGGCGGGAGGAGCCCAGAACTTGGGGCCCCTGACACAATTGCACATCCTTTTTTTTTTTTTTCCTTTCCCTTTTCTGTTCTCCGGCCCGAGACGACACAGTATTCAAGTGAGGTGCTGGCGAGCCCGTGCGTGCCCGGGCAGCGCAGAGACGGCCAAGATGCAAAAGTCGAGAAGAAAGTGAAAGCGTGTCTGCAGGAAGGCGCTGCCAGCAGCTCCAGGGTTAAAATATCCAGTCCCCACCCCCCCCAGCCCCCTAACCCCCTCTGGTCGGGATCCCTCTGTCCCCTCCCCTCTCCCTCACCCTCCCTCTAAGTCGGGAAGTCAGGCGGGGAAGGTCAGTGCAAAGAACGGACAGACAGACGGACAGCCCCACCCGCACCCCCACCCGTGGCCCCCAGGGGTGGGGCGGGGGGTGCTCCCTGCTCTCAGCAGCACGGTGCTGGCGAGGTAAGGCACAACCGTGGCTCGCCACGGCTCTCTTAAGGCAAGTGTCGTCTCGGAGGAGTAAAGCTTTGGAAGTCGGGCAGAGGGAGGGGAGGCGCCCGCTGGGCGCAGTGTCCCTTGGGCTGGAGGGGAGCCTGGCGGGGGCCGGGGAGGCCGCGGCTCCCTCACCGGGCGCTGCCCTGGCTACCGATAGAATGCGAGGTGCTGTAGCGCTTCTTCACGATCATGCTGATGTAGGCCTTCATGAGCTTGGCCACGTCCACCACCTGCCGGGGAGAGCACAGGGGACATGGTGAGGCCCGGCTGGGCTCTGCGGGGAAACTGAAGGGCCCAGTGGGGCCGGCCAGGCACCCCCACCCGCCACCACCACACGCACAGACGGCGCCCCCTGCCGACGGCCCCGAGGTATCGGAGACGCAGTTACAAGACCCGCCTGCAGGGGCTCAAGGAAGGGTCAGTCCCCTCTGGGCTGGAATGAGCAGCTTGCTGCACGGACCCTCTGCTCGGTCTCTGCCAACTGCTGGTGATGCCTCGGAGAAAACAGGCGACACCCAGGGGGCTTGAAAACTGTAGCCCCCCCCCACCTCCTCACCTGTCCGGTTCTGCACTGCACCAGCCTGAACCCCTGTGTGCACCTGCCCCAGATGCGACTGTCAGCCGCTGTGGCTCTGGGCACCCCAGCAGCCTTCTGTTGCTCTTCCCCTCGGCCTTCCAACCTCACTGCTTGCAAAACGGCGGGCAAGACAGCAGCCCGCGGCCAGGACCCTCGGGTCAAAGGCCCCTCCCCGGAGGACAGACCCTCCTCCCACCAGCCGGCTGGAACACACTGTCGCTTCTGCTGGAACCTGCCAAGGACTCCGTCTCCTTCCCCTCCGTGTCTCCAGCAGCCCGAAGGGCAAAGCACGTTGCCCAGCCTGTGCCGTGGAGACCCCACTGGGCCCTGGCAGCATCAGGACCACCGTCTCCCCAGATCTCACCAGCGTCATCATCATCCCTATCCCTGATACGTGCTCAGGCTTTGCAGCAGATGGCGAGATGCATTTTGAGCCCTCTTCGGGGGGGATTTGGGGAGCCAGAATTAGCTTTCCCGGCATGGTCACATGCCGCCCCCCCCCCCCCAGCCCCCACCTCGCTCCTCAGGCGCGCTGGGTGCAGCTGCCAGAGACAGGCCCCCGGCTGTGGGGATCACCTGCTAATGTGCACCAGGCAAACTAACTCAGCAGTCTCCCCCTTCCTCGCGGACAGCTCTGTTATTTCCCTGTCTCTGCTTCTGCTCCATGGAGATGCTCTGCTGACACCAGGGCACCCAATTTCTCTGCGGTAGAGAGTGAGGAGAAACCTGGGGTTTTCTTTCTTCTTCTTCCTTTTTTTTTTTCTTTTTGGGTCACACCCGGCGATGCTCAGGGGACCCTATGGGATGCTGGGAGTCGAACCGGGGTTGGCCGTGTGCAAGGCGAACGCCCTACCTGCCGTGCTATCGCTCCAGCCCAGCGTACGCCTTCTCAGCAGAGTCGGGGGACGAACGTGGGAAGTCACCCCGGTGTGCCTCTTACCTCGCTGGTTTCGAAGAGCAGCTCCCGCTCGTCCACCACGATCTTGTACGTGTTGGCCAGGGGCGCCCCGAAAGAGAGGATGTGCTCGTACTGGAAGACCTCCAGCGGCCGGCCCTCCCCACGCTTGTACACGGAGACGGCGTCCGCGCTGACGCCCAGCCACAGCTCCTGGGGGAAGCCGCCTTCCTTGCACTGGGGGGGGCAAGAGACATTGAGAATGAACTCCAGAGCAGCTGGAAATGTGGGGCGCAGGGCACAGTGCATACCCCTCCCTACAGCTGTGAAGGCAGTGTCCAGCTCTGAACCCATGTGAGGTGAGCCCGGGCATGGCGGAAACCAGCACTGGTTTCCCGGGTTCATTAAAAAAAAACAAAAAAACTTTATTTTTTAATTTTTAAAAATTTTTTGCCACACCCAGTGATGCTCAGGGGTTCCTCCTGGCTCTGCACTCAGGAATTATTACTCCTGGCGGTGCTCGGGGACCATATGGGATGCTGGGAATTGAACCCGGGTTGGCCGTGTGCAAGGCAAATGCCCTATCCCCTGTGCTATCGCTCCAGCCCCTCTGGGTTCTTTTGTTTTTTTTTTGGTTTTTGGGTCACACTTGGCAATGCATAGGGGTTATTCCTGGTTCACGCATTCAGGAATTATTCCTGATGGTGCTCGGGGACCATATGGGATGCTGGGAATCGAACCTGGGTTGCCCGCCTGCAAGGCCAACCCCCTCCCTGCTGTGCTATGGCTCCGGCCCTTCTGGGTCCATTTCTGACTGGTCAGTTTCGCACATCTGGGGCACCTGGAATGTAAATCCCAGCAACTTGCGTTGTCGCTCTCTCTCTCAACACCACGTTCTACTTGTTCCTTTAATCAGTGACACCAGGTCCTCTTGGCCGGAATCTTTCCCCAGGGTCTCTCCAGGCCAGGCCACCCGGACCTGCCCTGCTCCTGGGAGCTCTGGGTTTTCTCTTCCTCCATCCTTGGGTGGGGGATGGGGGAGACATACTGGGGAAAAAATCAGTATCAACTGAGGCTGACTGGCTTCTCTGCGTCTGCTGCTGGGGATCAAACTGGCCTCACAAGTGCACGACAACTGCTCCATTGCTTGAGCCCCAGACCCCAATTTCTTCCTTTAGCAGAGTTAGGGTCTGGGGCCAGAGTGACAGTCCAGCAGGGAGGGCGTTGGTCTTACACGCAGCCGACCCAGGTTTGATCCTCGGGTATCTTATTTTGTCCCCTGAGTACTAAGGTAAAGGTAAAGGCCCTCCCGTTGATGGTCGATTTGCTCGAGCGGGCCCAGTAACGTCTCCATTGGAGACTTTGTTGTTACTGTGTCTGGCATATCGAATACTCTCGGTAGCTTGCCAGGCTCTCCAAGAGGGGCGGAGGAATCGAACTCGGGTCGGCCATGTTGGCGGCTTGTAAGGCGAACGCCCTACCCGCTGTGCTATCGCTCCAGCCCAGGTCATCCAAAGTAATTTAAAATTAAATTAATTAAATTAAAGGTCCTCCCATTGATCATCGATTTGCTCGAGCGGGCCCAGTAACATCTCTATTAGAGACTTTGTTGTTACTGTGTCTGGCATATCGAATACTCTCGGTAGCTTGCCGGGCTCTCCGAGAGGGGCGGAGGAATCGAACTCGGGTCGGCCATGTTGGCCGCTTGTAAGGCGAACGCCCTACCGCTGTGCTATCGCTCCAGCCCCTGAGTACTGCGAGGGGTAATTCCTGAGTGTGAGCCAGAAGTAACCTGCAAATATTGCTGGATGTTAAAAAAAATAAAGAGAGAGAGAGGGGGGAAAAAGACAAAAATACAAAACCCAGGTATGGCCAAAGCTTCTGATTTTGTTTAACTGGAAAAAAAAAATATCTTGAAATGCTGAGTCTTACTAGGCCTTTATTATAATGGGGTCCACACCCCATTATAATAATAATAATATAATGTGTGGTTAGGCAATGTCCAATTCTTTCTTTGATTGCAAATACATATATTTGGGCTTGGGGGTCACACCTGGCATTGCTTAGAACCACCCCTGGCAGGGCTCAGGAGACCAGATGTGATACTGGGGACCGACTGGGGCCAGCCCTGAGCAAAGCAAGCGCCCAGGCCTTTCACTCCAAATACGCAGAAAGCATTCGGCAGCGGGTCTGCCTGTGTGGCAAAGAAGCTAGTGGCCAAGCCCGGGGCCACTCCCAAAGAGGACGTGACAGCCACGTTCTGCCCTCCGCCCTGCGTCCACTCGGCCGCCGCATAGGCCTGAGCCCCGCCCAGGACTCCCGAGCCGGTGCTCACCTCCACGTCAAAGAGCGTGGACCCGTAGCCGGGCCACTCCTTGATCAGGGCCATATACTTGGCCATGGCCTGCTCTTGCTTCATGCCCTGGAACTTCTTCCACTTGTCAAGGACGCTGGCGCGCACGCAGGACACCTCCTCCTTCACCCACATGTCCAGCATCTGCTCTTCCTCGGCCCGGGGCCGGGGCGCAGGCCCTGTGCGGAAGCTGCGCCTGAGTGTGCCCTCCAGGAAGCTGGTCCGGCGCTTCTCCAGCCGCTCACAGGGCACGAAGGGCCGGGTGGACTGGCTGATGCGCGCCTTGAGCCTCTGCACCGGGTACACCTCATCCAGGGCTGGCACAGCGGCCTGTGGGGACTGGTCGCCCAGCAGGTACTGTAGCCGCAGGGCTGCCAACACCTGCAGGTTCTCCTCGGGGGCCGGGTAGAGGCCCTGGATCACCGCCTCGTGGGCCTGCAAGGGAGAGCACGCCGGGATCTTGGGATCAGCGCCTGGCACAGTTCAAGCGCGGGGGAAGGGCGGGCGGGTGGGCCTCATCCGATCCCTCTGTCCTCCCAGCACAGCACAGCTGGACTGTTCTCATTATTATTATTATTTTTGCTTTTTGAGTCGCACCCGGCGATGCACAGAGGTTACTCCTGGGTCTGCACTCAGGAATCACTCCTGGCAGTGCTCAGGGGACCATCTGGGATGCTGGAGCTCGAACCCGGGTCAACCGCGTGCAAAGCGAACGCCCTCCCCACTGTGTTATCGTCGCTCAAGCCCAGCCCCCTACCTTTAACTAGCACTGTTGCTGGCCCTGGAGAAAAGTTTATCCCAAACGCGCAGAAAAATATTTTGGTGCACACAAAAGGACAGCCGGGGCCAGGACTCCTGGGGACTATCTGCCCCGCTGGTGTCCGTGCTTTAGCGTGGAGCGCGTCGGGAGCGTGATTCTGTTTGCCCGCCGTGGGGCGGTCTCTTTACCTGCTCAAACATGAACGCAAACTCCACGCTGTCTGTGGGGACGTGGTCGGTGTCGAGGAAGCAGTAAAGCTTGAAGTAAAACTTCCAGGGCAGGTCGCCGCCTTCAGACGTGGCTGCCAGCCTAGGGACAGGGCAGAGGCTCAGAGAGCGGAATGCATGGGACTGACAGTCTCTGGGAGATTCTTCCTGAGGAGGATCCTGGCACTCTGTCCAGGCTCACAGCGCAGGTAGAGCACAGACAGACAGACAGACAGAAAGAAAGAAATCCCCACAAGAATGAAGCTTAGGAATTGGAGCGAGAGCACAGTGGGGAGGGCCTTTGCCTTGCACACGGCCGACCTGGGTTTGATTCCCAGAATCCCATGTGGTTCCCCGAGCACCACCAGGAGTAATTCCTGACTGCATGAGCCAGGAATAATCCTTGTGCATTGCCAGGTGTAACCCAGCCTTCAAGATCACTTCAAGAGAAAACAGCCTTCCACTCAATTGTGCTCATGAGTCCTTCCTGAGTCTACCCCCCGCCCCCGGCACCCCCCTCCCCCACCCCGGTCTAAGCGCTACTGGCCAAGCATTAGAATGAATCTGTAGAAAGAGAAGAAACCCAGGCTAGTTCTTCATCCCATCCCCCATCCGTCAGAGCCAACCACGACAGTATTTTAAATTACAGACACAAATAGTATTGGAGCTAGGTTTATAATGAGCGGGAGTTTTTAAATGCCACTCAAGGGGTACTCAAAAAAGCACGACTGGCTTGTATCTACTGCCGTTGCTGCAAACTAATGTCAAGTTTGCGTGGACCCAGGATATCCCTCGTAGAGACCCTTAACAGGAGGCTAAAGAGAGAGAGAGGACAGTCCTGACCAGCTGCACCCCGTGAGACTGGCTTTAGGGAAGCATCAAGAAAAATGGGCAGTCGAGAACAGATGACCGGTTAAAGGAAACTTTGGTACATCTACACAATGGAATACTATGCAGCTGTTAGGAGAGATGAAGTCATGAAATTTGCTTGTAAGTGGACAGACATGGAGAGTATCATGCTAAGTGAAATGAGTCAGAAAGAGAGGGACAGACATAGAAAAATTGCACTCATTTGTGGAATACGAAATAACATAATATGAGACTGACACCCAAGGACAGTAGACACAAAGGCCAGGAAGATTGCCCCATGGTTGGCAGCCTCCCTCGTGAGCTGTGGGAGAAGGCAGCTGGGATAGAGAAGGGATCACTAAGTCAATGATGGTTGGAAGGATCGCTTGGCATGCGAGATGTGCGCTGAAAGTGGATAAAGGACCAAACATGATGACTTCTCATATCTGTATTGCAAACCATAATGCCCCAAAACAGAGAGAGAGAGAGAGTATGGGGGAAATTGTCTGCCATGGAGGCAGGGGGAGGGATGGTAAGGGGTATACCGGGGAACACTGATGGTGGAGAATGTCCCTGGTGAAGGGAAGTTGATCACTGTATGACTGAAACTCAAAGATGCAAGCTTTGTAAATATCTCATGGTGATTCAATAAAAAAAAAAAAACACGAAAGAAAAACCAGCAGCGTAGAGCGATTAAAAATGAAATCTGATCAACGCCACACGGAGACAGTGAGAGCGAAGGTCCGGCCCTGCCTCTCCGTCAATCTGCTCCCTCCGACGAGGAGAAGGGACGGAACGTACTTTTCAAACTTGGCCAAGACGTCAGCCACGACGGTGCGGCTCTCGATGGCCTTATCCACGTGCCCGTTGTACTCGAACAAGGCGAACATGTTCCTGCTGTCCTCCATGGCCAGGCCGCGGATCAGCTTCTCCACCACCTGCGAGCACGGGACGCGCATTTGGCTCCTGCAGCTGGTGGGTCTCAAATGTGGCTCCGTCACGGCCCAGGGCGGAGGGTCTCCCCACACCACCACCGGGGGTTCTCTGGCTGGCCAGAACTTGGAAGGCGCAAACGACCCCCAGCTCCCAGCCCTCCTTGCCTGAAACACAGGGGCTTCCTCGCGCTCGAAACGCCCAAAGCACATACAGAGCTGAGGCCCCGGTTCTGGCTGATAAATCCACCCCCTCCACGACTTCCACTGAGGTCTTGTCTGGCTTCCACCCAGCTCGGTGGTTTCCTGATTTGTGTGGGTTTGGCCACTCCAGGACGGCCTGGGGAAGGGGGTGGGGGCAGCAGGCCAGGGCAGCAGTGCCAGGAGTGGGGGGCAGAACTAGGCCCCCGGGGTCAGGGATCAGAGCGACAGGAGCCCCCTCCCGGACTGAGCTTAAGTGAGAGAGGAGGAAGACGCGTTCTCTTCTGCCCGTCCAGGCAGCGAAGGCCGACACACACGGGGGCGAGAGGGAGACGAGGACACGAGCCACGGGCAGGATTCTGGCACACACTCAGCCCACTGTTCCCGCTCTTCTCCGACACGTAAACTGGTCCTTATTGCTGTGCTGAGGTCTGAGACACACACACACGCACACACGCACACACACACACACACACACACACACACACGGGCAAGTGACTCGAACTCTGAGCCAGCCCTGAGACACAGACACATACACACAGAGGCAAGTTAACACACACACACACACACACACACACACACACACACACACGGGCAAGTGACTCGAACTCTGAGCCAGCCCTGAGACACACACACACACAGACAAGTGATTTGAACGCTGAGTTAGTCCTGAGACACACACACACACACACACACACACACACACACACACGGGCAAGTGACTCGAACTCTGAGCCAGCCCTGAGACACACACACACACACACACACACACACACACACAGACACACGGGCAAGTGACTCGAACTCTGAGCCAGCCCTGAGACACACACACACACACACACACACACACACACACACACACACACACAAGTAATTTGAGCCTAGACACACACACGCAAGGGACTCGCAAGTGAGCTAGTCCTCGAGCACACTGGATTTGATTCTACTGGGGGGGAAAAACCCCAAACCTGTCCCTTCCTTTTATTTTTGTCTGGCTCTCCCCAAGTCACAGGCCACATGCCGCTGCCTCAGGGGTGTTTTGGGGGGCACGGGGTGCCTGGGGTGGAACCCTGGCCTCACACATGCAAGGCACAGAGCCACGCTTTAGGCGGTCTCTTACAACCTATTTCCTTTTCTTCTACTACTAAAATCCAGCCACTTCCTGTGGCGCTCAGTGGGGGAGGGGAAGTAGGCGGTCGGGGGTGGGGGCCACTGCCCGGCACTGCTCCAGCTGCCCCCAGCAGTGCTCAGGGCCAGAGGATGCGCTCGGGTGCTCCGCGCCTTCTCCCAGTGCGAAACAGACGCTCTGTGCGCTCCCTGCAGGGAAGGCGGGCTGACCCCCCTGCCCTGCGTGCCTCTCCCCTCAACCCTCCCCCCCCGCCCCGCCCCGCCCCCCGGCCCCTCACCTCCCCGGCCGTGGTGTGGGAGTTGATGGTGATCCTGCAGGAGCCGCCACCGTGGCAGTACACGGTGGACGTCATCTCCTGCCTGTGGATCAGTGCCTCGATCTCATCCCGGGACGGCACGAACTCGCGGCACTTGGTTTTCTTCAGCGACTCGTAAATGAAGAGCGCGTACTTCTCCATCTCCGTCCCGGGAAACTGCTCCCGGATCCTAGGAGACAGCGGGGACCCTGTCACGCCTGGCGGCAGGGAGCAGCGTCTGGGGTACAGTCTGAGTTTCGACACAAACTCTGGGCGGGCCAGAGCGACAGGGCGGCCAGCAGGCAGGCAAGGCGGCTGACCGGGTGTCAGTTCCCAGAACCCCATGGGGTCCTCCAAGCACTGCCAGAAGTGAGCCCTGAGCACAGAGCCAAGAGTAGACCCTGAGCACTGCCGGGTGTGGCCCCCAAAATCAACTCCCCACCCCCACCTCAAACTCAGGGGCAGAAGAGATAGCAGAGGGGCTATAGGGATAGCACAGAGCTGGTGGCAGCCGCCCCCAGGTGTGGCGGACCCCACCCACTCCGAGAGTCCAACTGTGAGCGGTTCTTCCACCCACACAGCTCTGCAGAGCAGTTGTTCCTTCCCGCGGAGGATGAGCCCTCGAACCGCTCATGAAATCTGCTTTTCCGAAGCTGCAGAATCAGAATCGGCCTCTGACTATGTGCCGGGTTCCCTGCAAGCAGCCCGGCACGGCACAGGGAGAAAAGGCCCTCGGGGGCGGGAGCCAGAGTACATCGCGGAGGGAGTTTGCCGTGCATGCAGTGGACTCGGGTTCAATCCCCGGCACCCCATACAGTCCCTGGAGCGCCGCTAGGAGTGATTCCTGAGGTCAGAGCCCAGGAGTCACCCCTGAGCATCGCCAGGTGTGACCCGAAAAGCAAAAACAGAAAAGGCCCTCAACAGAGCCGCGATGGAGCTCGGCGGCCCAGCACAGATCCTCAGAGGCGTGAGGCCCCGGGTTCGACCCCTGTCCCAACGAAAGGGAAGAGTCTGCACTCCCGAAGCCTGTTCCAGGACTGTGAGCAGGAAGTGGAGGCCCTGACGCCCACAGCAACCCTCACAGAGGCTCCCCGTCCCCCCCAGCCCCATCTCTGACCTGCCCTTGGGCACCACTGAGCCCGGCCCCCTCCCTACCTCTTCAGGTGGAACTTGAGGTACTTGAGGATGCCCCGGCTGGGCAGGAAGGTGCAGCTGAGGCAGGTGAGGATCTGCCAGCTGTAGAGGTTGCCCGGGCTGCCCGGCTGGGGCACCTTGTTGGTCTGTTTGATGAGCTGGCAGTAGAGCTCGTCCCGCAGTGGCCGCAGGTCGTGGCCCGTCTGCAGGATGCCCTGGATGAGGGGGACGGGGTCGGACATGGACTCCAGCTGCTGCAGCGAGTGGAAGATCTTGATGGCCTCGTCCTGCAGCGTGGTGTAGCCTTTGTCCTTCAGCACTGGGGAGGCGAGGGCAGACACGGGGGTGAAGGTCGGCGCCGGCTGCGAGGCAAGGAGCGGGCCACAGGGGACCGTCCGGGTCCCCCACTGCCTCCACATTCAAACCAGCGGGACGCGGTTGCCCAAGCAAGCAGGTATTCACCAGAAAGCTGGTGGACGGCACAGGCATGTGCAGACTCAGAAGCGGAGACCCAGGTGCTGCTCGGAGCCCGCCTCCGCCCACCCCTTCGGGAGCCGCGCGGCAGGCCTGGGACACTCACGGTTGAGGTTGATGTCGCCATAGGGCAGAGGCAGCAGCGGTGAGTGCAGCGGGTGATGGGTGTGGCGCAGGATGGGGTTCCGCTTGTAGATTTGCTCCACCACATCCAGGTTCAGGCAGTTTTCCTGGGCAGGGGGGAAGGAAGGGGGCGTAAGCGCAGCACTGGGGGGCCCGAGGGTCGCGGGAGAGCAAGGTCGTTCTCGTGCCACGCTCCTGGGGGCGAGTAGCTGGTGCTGATGAGGGCTGGGCACGGGATGGAGAGCACAGCACAGGCTAAGCACCTCCCGGGCACGCGGCCTGGGGTGGATGCCCTGGTCCTGCACCTCGGTCCCTCGTGTGGGTCCCCAAATAAACAAAGTAAACAGCCCCTTTCCCCCAACCGAACTGGAAGCCTACCCCTAACGCCCAGGTTCGGTGACGGGAGTCTAGCACTGTAGCACTGTCCTCCCGTTGTTCATCGATTTGCTCGAGCGGGCACCAGTAACATCTCACAACAAATTGTGAGACCTGTTGTTACTGTTTTTGGCATATCGAATACGTCACGGTGTAGCTTGCCAGGCTTTGCCGTGCCGACGAGATATACTCTTGGCAGCTTGCCGGGCTCTCCAAGAGGGACAGAGGAGTTGAACCCAGGTTGGCCACTTGCAAGGCGAACGCCCGACCCGCTGTGCTATCACTCCAGCCCTAGCCTGGATAATTTCCAACACGGGCCAACTTCCAGAACCCAGTGAGAAGCGCAAGCACGTGAGTTCGGTGATGGCAAACTCCAGGCCTCACGGGATAGGGGATGGGCTGGTCCTTCTCACCCCCCATCCTCACGGGACCCTGGAGGTCACACCCACAAACTGCCTCTGGCTGCTACTTAAGCTCCTTAACTGCCACGATCCAGAGACACACAAAGGAATCTCCAACCAAGCAGCACAGCTCGTTGCAGAGATTTCTCCAGACTCTGATCATCTAAAATTTTAGAGTTCTAGGAGAGTGCAGCCACAACATCTCATGCTGTTCACAACAGGCAACACAAAAAGGAGTAGCACTGTAGCACTGTCCTCCCACTGTTCATCGATTTGCTCGAGCGGGCACCAGTAACATCTCACAACAAATTGTGAGGCCTGTTGTTACTGTTTTTGGCATATCGAATACGTCACGGTGTAGCTTGCCAGGCTTTGCCGTGCGGGCGAGATACTCTCAGTAGCCTGCCAGGCTCTCTAAGAGGGGCGGAGGAATCAAACCCGGGTCTGCCGGGTTGGCCGCATGCAAGGCAAACGCTCTACCCGCTGGGCTATTGCTCCAGCCCACAAAAAAAGAGCATGGGGGAGATTGTCTGTCGTAGAGGCAGGGGGAGGGGTCGGATGGGGTGGGGATGCTGGGGACCTTGGTAGTGGAAGATAAGCACTGGTGGAGGGTTGGGTGATTGATCACCGTGTGACTGAAACTCAAACGGGAAAGCTTTCTAACTGTTATCTCAAGGGGATACAAAAACTAATAAAATGAAATTAGCATTCGGAATTAAAAACGTAATGTGGAGTTCATGCCCAATTCAATCAGCTTAATCAATGGCTGAGTACGTAGCAGGACTCCTACATTATTAAAAAAATATAGTAACTTCTGGCATCGAAGAAGCCAGGAGATAATACTATGTGCCTCAGAGGTGGCTGGCCCTGGTTTGATCCCTGGCATCACAGATAGTCCCCTAAGCACATACATGGGGAGAAGTACTTTTCCCCATCTGAAGAAACCCACAAGCGACATCTGAAGACAAATAACGGAGAGCCATTTTTCATTTTTCCTACGTCACTCATTCTCTTGGTACAAGGGTTTTTCCATGTTATCTAAAATTTCTGTGTGGATTTAATTAGTATATATTTACTATCTACTAAAAAGTGATCGTTGGGGAGCAGTGCTACGGATTGAACCCAGGGCCTCACACATGCCAGCGCTCTACAGTGAGCTACAACCTCCCCCGCTTACAATTATTCCAAAGTTCTTTGACCAAATTGAGAAAGGCAGTATTATATTTAATTCATTTAAAAATATTTTTTTGCTAGCATTCTTCTTCTCTCTACTCAGCCAGAACACGCTAATACGTTACTAATGGCACCGTGTCTGTCTTCCCCTTCCCTCCTCCTGAAATCCCTCACAGAATTTCATCATGCATTCATGCTCCTAAAAGAGTCATTTGGGGTATAAAAAAGTCAAGTTACTTTTAGCGCATTAAGTAAACAGAGAAGCTGGAGGAGAGGTGATGAATCACTCCATTTTGGCAATTTCATTTCCACTACGAAACTTTTTCAGTAACATCTAATTGAAAGTTGGAAAAAAAAAATAAAAAACCCACAAAAACTCAACCCTGAAACTACTTCAGCTATTTTGTAGGCGACTTAATTAGGCCAACTTGTCTGATTTCTTCAGAAGCATCATTTCATACTTGGAAAATCTAATTTTCTTTTCAAAGCCTGATTTCAAGTGAATGAGAAAAGAAGTCTAAAAATAATTGGGGAAAAGCAAGTTTAAAGAAATATTAAGGCTAGAAATGAAATTATACATTTCCTGCGCCGTGGCTTCCTTGGAGAGCTTTTACAGAGTTTGGAATCACTGACTTGCAGAAATTCAGCTCCAGACTTGAAACGGGGTGGGATGTGATCTCTGACAGATGTGTCGGGGTTCCCCACCCCCCGCCCCGAACCTTAACACAGGCGGGGGACTTGCTAATCCCGATCATGCCCATCAGCAATCACCAGCCTCACTAGCACTCACTCTGCCGCCTTGGCAGTTCTAGCCTGTTCTCGCCTTTGTCTCAGGAACCTGCCAGCACAGATAACTCAGAACCGCAGTCAAGAGAAACCCCCCGGCTTTGAGGCCAGCCGCACATGCTAGGGGAAAAGGCAGCTCAGAAAGAGAAGGGAGCACCAAATACAGGGTGTTGGGAGGTTCCGCCCAGGATGGGAGAAGCATGCTGAAAGTAGACTCTAGACCGAACATGATTGCCACTCAATGCCTCTCTTGCAAAACACAGTACCCAAAAGAAGAGAGAGAGAACAAGGGGGAATGCCCTGCCGCAGAGGCAGGGTGGGATGGGGGAATGGGGGTGGGAGGGATACTGGGATCCGTGGTGGTGGAGAATGGGCACTGGTGGAGGGATGGGTACTCGATCATTGTATAACTGAAACCCAAGCACAAAAATTTGTAAGTCTGCAACTGTACCTCATGGTATTTCACTAATAAAGATTTAAGGGAAAAAAAAAAAGAGAACCCCCCTCCCCCCCCGACTTGTTTCTGCACGGGAAACTTGAACAGCAGCAAGGGCAACACAACTGGAATAACCCACGTCTCGGTTCCCAAAGGTCCACACTCGCGGCGATCAATGGGCCACGTGCCCACTCATCAACCCATTTATACAGCAATGGCACTTCACAATTCACAACTTAACCCGCTCGGTGTCACTCTGGCGACTCAGGAGGTTCAAGGACTGTGGCCGCGGCTAACAGGGACCCCAAGTTTCTACAGTCATCTGGTTTCCGTGCGGGTGAACCCACCGCATGGCCTGGACACTACACTACAGGAGGGGACTTTGTAGGTTGCCCTGGGACAGTGACCGAGATGACGCCGGCCCCTCAGAGCACAGCGGGCTGTGTCTGACACAGACCACACACCATGCCCACCAGTGGGGTGCAGCCCTGCACCCCTGAAAGATGCCCCTTCTTCCTTCTGCTTGCAGAGTGCAGAAGTGAGGTTCGCTCTGTGCCAACCTCAAATGCTTCCACGAAGACAACACACTGTCAGCATCAAATTCCACCTGAATCTCACCGTTAGGCTCCTAAACAAGAGAGCCGGGTCTTGCTTACAAAATTAGCTGACAGTGAGTTCTAACCGAGACTTCAGAACTGAGCCTGGAGAGCCAGAGAGCAGGTTAGGCGCTGGCCTGGCATGCGGCCAACCCAAGTTCCATCCCCAGCGTCCCGTTCGGTCTTCTGAGCCTGCCAGGAGAGACTCCCAAGTGCAGGGCCAGGAGCAACCCCTGACACCACCCGGTGTGGCCCAAATACAAAATAGAGAAAACCAAACCGAGCTTGACTAAATGACCCCTGAGCAGAACTAGGGAGTGACCCCCACTGACCTTGATATCTTGAATGAGCTGTTGGGTGGGGGTGTCGATCGGGGCCTTGGTGTCCGTCACGTTCTGGATGGCGCTGGACCACCGTGTGGCCTCATTGAGCAGTTTGGTGTAGAGTCGGTAGCAGTGCTTCCGCCCGTACACGGTGACGTTCCAGTAACCTGTGACAGTGACAGCCATGCACCCGCATCAGTTAACAGCCTGTGTCCCGGGTAAGAATCCCACCCTGGTAGCCCACTGCAGGTGGACGCCACCCCCACGAGCCTCTCTGAGCGGGAATACATTCTGACAGAGAGTGGCTGAGCGTGTCGGCGTGCTTCTCCCTAGCCCAGCCAGCCTTGCATCCAAAGACGCACAGAGCTCACGGCGGGGAGGGAAGAAGCCCGCAGTAGGAGGCTGGACGGTAAGCTCTGCTCAGAGAACAGGCACGGGCGGACACTCCAGGCCCCTCAAGGCTCTGAACTAAGGTTAAGACCTTCTTGTCTCTTTTCCTTCCCTCAGCTTCTCCCTGGAGAAGAAAAAAGCCCCTTGCAGCCGGCTAGTGGCCATCACACTACACGCAAAACAGAATCTGGGACTGAGTGACTGCTTCAATAGGTAGAACAAGGCATTTTAGAATGCCTAACTGGGGCCGGAGTGATAGCACAGCAGGTAGGGCGTTTGTCTTGCACGTGGACGACCTGGGTTTGATTCCCAGCATCCCATTTGGTCCCCTGAGCACTGCCAGGAATAATTCCTGAGTGCATTTGCATCGTTGGGTGTGACTCAAAAAGAAAGAAAGAAAAAAAAAAAAGAATGCATAACTGCATTTAAAGGGCTGGAGCGATAGCACAGCGGGTAGGGCGTTCGCCTTACACGCGGCCAACATGGCCGACCCGAGTTCGATTCCTCCGCCCCTCTCGGAGAGCCCGGCAAGCTACCGAGAGTATTCGATATGCCAGACACAGTAACAACAAAGTCTCCAATGGAGACGTTACTGGGCCCGCTCGAGCAAATCGACGATCAACGGGAGGGCCTTTGCCTTTTACCTTTTAACTGCATTTAAAAATTAACCCCAAATCACCAACCAGCAATACCAACCCCCAACACAAACACTCTAAAAACAGTTCCACCCATCCTACTCCAAAGGAGGGACACCGTCCCCTGAAACTATATTTTTCTAGGTGACTCTCATGGGCAGTCAGGATTGGGGCTCTTGGAAGATGCTTCGGTTAAAAATAAATAAATAAATAAGAGGAGGGGCCAGAACAATAGGGAAGGCGGGAGGATGTTTCCCTGGCACATGGTCGACCAGGCTTCAACCCCCAGAACCCCATATGGTTCCCCGAGCACCGCCAGGAATTCCTGAGTGCAGAGCCAGAAGGAATCCTTGAGTATCACTAGGTGTGACCCAAGAAGGAGAAGAAAAAAAAAAAAGAGGAAAACCCATAAAATGGAACAGCTTCCTGGAGGATCATCTTTGCCTTTTCACACAGAATTGAGCTGAGAAGACGCTGCAAGTCAGTCAGCGCCCGAGTCTGCTCGGCTCAGCGGAGGCTGCCTCCAAGGAGAAGCCCCAGGAGTGTTTGTGGACGGAGCAGCCCGGGTCTCTTCCCCGGCTGCTCTGTTGGGCCCGCACCCACCCGTTACCTGTCTCCTTGAAGATCTTCTCATCCGGAGGAACCACGGAGCAGAGGCTGTTGAGGACCAGGGTGCCCAGCTTCAAGGCGTTCTTCTCCGAGCTCTTGTAGTAATCCAGCGAGTTGTGGGTGAGCACGAACCACCGCTTCTTCAGCTTCAGCGAGGACATCTTCGGGCTGTTCTTGACCTCTTTATGCAGCCACCCTGGGGAGGGCGAGAGCGAGCGTGAGCGCGAGGGAGTGATGGACTAGCAGCGAAGCAAAGGCCCGGCCACCCAGACCAGACCCATCTCTCTCCCCCGCCCGCCCGGCTGGGATTATGCGTTTGAGGATTTTTGCATCCCCGGGGATCCCCATGATGCGGTGGCAGTGACGGCGAGCGGTCACCTCTGACGATGAACTCCTGGCCCTCCACGCGTGTGTCGCCCTTGGAGCGCTGCAGCAGGGTGATCCAGTGATGCATCTCCTCGGGTGTGTCGGCGTTGCAGTGCAGGACGCGGTTGGCCGTGATGATCACGAAGGAGTTGGGTCTGAGCAGACAGGGGGGAGGAGAGGAGTTGGCCTGAGCGTACGCGTCGCCCGATCCCCGCTCGCCGCGGCCCTCCCAGCTGGGGGTCGGAGGGACAGTGGCCCGCAGGATGGCCCCGTGAGTCGAATCGAGTCAAATCTTTTTGCTCGTCTCCGCCGACGTTCTCGAAGGCACCATTAACCTTTAAAGGAGGACCGACACACGCCCAAAGTCCTGCCAGGGGAAAGACATTCCTTCCTGCAAAACTTTCCAGATGAGAACTGGGTTCCCGGAAGGCTAAACAAGGTGAGGGCAGGATTTAAAAAAAGAAAAAAAGGTTTATTTGGGGAGGGTGGGGTGGGGGAGGGTTGCCTTTCCAAAATAAATTTCTCTCTGCCTTTGGATCTAGCCTTGGATAATATTTCTGTGGGTCGGTTGAAAAAAAAAAAAACTCAGCCGGCAGGAATAGAAGATCGGTAACGAGGTGTCAGTGGAACATCTTAGACACTTGATTCTTCTGGGCACAAAGGGCCACCTGGTCCGTGTTTGCAAAGCAATCAAGCGAGGGCGCGTTTCCCGGCCAGGGCTAATGGAATCACGGAAATTTCCTTTCCCGCTTAGCACCCTTTGGCCTGGCCATGCTCTCGGCCCTTGCTCAGAACCTGCCCCCCCCACACCCCTTCTCCATGCCCCCCCCAGATTTCCATTCATAAGCTGGTGACGGGGGCCCGTTTCCTGCCAGTGTTGAGAAGTTCACTGCAGTTACATTCGAGGTTCAGAAGTGAAGCTGCAGGGGGGGATGGGGTGCGGGTGGCGGGAGGGATGCTGGGACCATTGGTGGTGGAGAGTGGGCACTGGTGGAGGGATGGGTACTCGGTCGTTGTATGGCTGAAACGGAAGCATGAAGGTTTGTGAGTCTGTAACTGTATCTCACGGTAATTCATTTAAAAAAAAATTAAAAAGAAAGAAAGAAGTAAGACTGCAGGGCAAGGAAGGGCAGTGGGACTGGGTGCAGGGGGGCCGGCAGTGTCCTTAAAAGCACACGCAATGGGGGCTGGAGCAATGGCACGGCGGGTAGGGCGTTTGCCTTGCACGCAGCCGACCTGGGTTCGATTCCCAGCATCCCATATGGTCCCCTGAGCACCGCCAGGAGGGATTCCTGAGTGCAGAGCCAGGAGGAACTCCTGTGCGTTGCCGGGTGTGACACAAAAAGAAAAAAAAAAAGCACACCCAAAATTTTTTTTGCAGTTGGGAGAGGAAAGTCTGGGTGGAAAGTTCCAAGCGTCGCAGGGCCAGCCAGCTGGAGGTTAGTGGCTTTGGGGTAGAAGGACGGAAAATAGGTACTGACGGTCTGAACCCGGGCTTTTCTCACCCACTGCACTGACATCTCCAGAGTCTGGAAGAGTTTATGTAAAGTCCTAAATGACAGCATCACCGCTGAGGAGCCCTTGTGTGTGTGTGTGTGTGTGTGTGTGTGTGTGTGTGTGTGTGTGTGTGCGCGTGTGTGGCGGGGGGGTGGGGGAGAGTGTGATGGAGACCCAAGAGCCCCAGTTCTGCCTAAAAGACACTACTGACTGGCTGTCAATCCATTTTAACATTTAAAAACTGGAGCTGAGGGGGCTGGAGCGATAGCACAGCAAGTAGGGCGTCTGCCTTGCACGTGGCCGACCCGGGTTCGATTCCCAGCATCCCATAAGGTCCCCTGAGCACCACCAGGAGTCATTCCTGAGTGCAGAGCCAGGAGGAACCCCTGTGCATCGCTGGGTATGACCCAAAAAGCAAAAAAAAGAAATAAAAAATAAAGGAAGCATATTCTTCACGTGTCCATGGTTCAGGGTCTATGTCCACGGTTTCCCTCCGAATTTCAGAGGTGGCCAGAGAGGAAGACTCCGAATGGTAGGAACATGGTTCCAGGCAGGAGGCCGGGGTCCAGCGGCCTACAGTCCTCTCATAGGTCCATCCACAGAGGGACTGAAGTCCCCAGAGCCCAGGGAGCTGGCAGGGGCGTCGCTCTGACCCAGCATCACCTCTGAGCTTACCTGTCAGGGCTGTCGGAGGCGCACACGGAATCAATGAGCCCCACGTCCAGAGTGCCCTGGGGAAGGGTACGAAGGAGAGAGTGAGGACGGCGCAGGCAGGAGGCTCCTCACCCCCAAACCCCGCAACCCACTCCCCACGACAGCCCCAGTTTGGAAAAGGCCCAGGAGCCCAGGAACAGAGGGGGCCGGGCCAAGGAACCACCGGACAGACGCAAAGTGGAGCCATTTGCAGCGCGCAACGAGGATGGGGTGCCAGTGGCTGCCTTCACGGAGGGATCAGGCGCGGGTGAGGTCAGCGGGAAGGACAGGGACAGACCCAGAATGATCTCCCTGGCACGTGGGATATAAAGACACCAAGTCAGGGAGTAACACAGTCCCAGAGGCGATAGAGACGAAGGGCAGGGGGCCTGGTCTTCGGCAGAAGCTGCCACTGGATTGGAGGTGGGGGAAAGTTAGGGAAGGGAGCACCAGGCCCATGGCGGAGGGGGGAAGGGCCCACCACGGGGGCTGCTGGGGGACGAGGGAAGCTGGGGACACTGGAAAAGGGCAGTGGGCACGGGTGAAGGGATTGGTGTGGGACTATCGTGTGCCTGAAACCTAGTAAGAAATGACTTTGTTACTCTGCAGTTCACGGTGATTAATTTTTCAATTATCCAAAGTGAAGTGGGGGGAAGGGGGAGGAGGAGGAGGAGGAAGATCCTCCCTCAACCTAATTCCTAGAAGAAAGGAGGGAGGGAGAAGAGGAAGGGGAGAGGAGCAAGAGGAGGAGCAAGAGGAAGAGGAGGAAGAGGAGGAGGATGAGAAGGAATCTCTCTCAAACTCTGTCTCGCTCTCACGATGTGATCCCAGAATGGTGCACACGGGCTTCTCTGAGCAGGATGAATTTTTGCATTTACGGCACGATCCACCATTACAATTTAGGCTGACTCTGCTAGAAATCTCGAAGCTAAGTTTCCCTTACAGGAGAAAAACCAGATGTCTGGACAATGATTTCTATGCCCGTTATCCCGTCTGTGAGAGCAAGAGAGAAAGAACATGATGGAGAACTCACCACACCCTTTGAAGAAACATGCGAGGTGCTTCCAAGACTTCATAGAAATGAAAACTTTATTTGGAGGGGGAGAGGTTCTTTTGAGGAGGTACCAGATAGTTCTGGGGTTCTCTGGAATGGCTGACCCTAATTCTATCTCTGGCATCCTCAAACCCAAGAACCAAAGAGTTAAAAAAAAAAATAAAAATAAAGATTAGAGGGGACCGGAGCGATAGCACAGCGGGTAGGGTGTTTGCCTTGCGCGTGGCTGAACTAGATTCAACCCCTGGCATCCCATATGGTCCCCCAAGCGCCGCCGGGAGTAATTCCTGAGCGCAGAGCCAGGAATGACCCCTGCGCATCGCTGGGTGTGACCCCAAAAGCAAAATAAATAAATAAATAAATAAATAAGTAAAAGATGAGAGGGGTGGAGTGAAAGTTCAACCGGGAGAGAGTTCGCCTTGCATGGGGCTGACGTGGGTTCGATCCCAGCATCCCGTATGGTCCCTGAGCACCGTCAGGAGTGATTCCTGAGCGCAGAGCTGGGAATAACCCCCGAGCATCAGCAGGTATGACCCCAAAAGAAAATAAAAAATAAAGATTCGAGATGGGAGAACTGAAATCTATCACTATTTATAATCTATACTTGACTCCGCTTTTCTATGGGATCTCTAACTGACACGTCCCTGACTTTAATTATTCTTAAGTTACAGACTGTTTAGAAATTAGAAGTCACCGCCCCCACCCACGTCCCAGCTCACGCACCACGGCGTTCTGCGGGTTGGCCTGCTCGTCGTGCATCTCCCGGATCTCCTGGTCGGTGGAGGCGTGCACCTGGCTCAGGACGCTGAACCACTGGCTGCGGGGAGGGAGAGAGGCGTTAGGGAAAGGCGGCTCCAGCCGTTGCAGGCGCCCTGGGGCTCCAGGCTGAGCCACGCTGCCTCTCCTCTGCCTCCCACGAACTGGAATCGGGCTCCACACCCGCAAGGAGTCAAGTCAGCAAACCAGCCGGAGCAGGAGAAGTAGCGACCATGGTCAGTTCCGGTCAGGGACAAGCCTTTCCTTGGGTTCTCCAAGACCTTAACGGACACTTCATGAAGACGAGGAGTTGAGAAATAGGCAGCAAGTAAAACGTGTATTTCTTTAGTTCTACCCCCAAACATTTCTATCAAAGATCTTCACTAAAGGGGCCAGAGCGATGGCACAGTGGGTAGGGCATTTGCCTTGCACGCAGCCGACCTGGGTTCAATTCCCATATGGTCCCCCGAGCACCACCAGGAGTAGTTCCTGAGTGTATGAACCAGGAGTAACCCCTGTGCATCGCCGGGTGTGACAAAAAAAGAAAGTGTGTTTCTTTAGCCCTACCCCCAAACATTTCTATCAAAGATCTTTACTAAAGACCGTATTTGCAACCCAAGGTGGTATTCAACTGTGTGAGGCCCAAGACTCAGGGGGCAATGCTCCCACCTTGCACACCAAAGACCCCTGTTTGTATCCGCGGTACTGAGATCAAACAGATCAAATCTTAAGCTAAGAAGGCCAATCAGGTGAGAGCACAGCTCAGAATGACTGTTTGATGTCTCTTTTCCCAGTCATCGCCGGGATTTCCAACCCGGGAGGCCTTCTACTCCTGTGAGTAAAATAACCACAGGAGAAGTTGAAAACGACGCTTGCAGATAGAAGTGAAAACACAATTTTTACACAGATGACTTTTTCTATATTTCAAGCAAATTTTCTTACTTCCAGCTTTATCAGAGTAAGACATTAAGAAACCAGAATTGGGAGGCCGGTAGAAATTATATGACATAACACAATTATGATATGACATATCACACAATTATGATATGACACAACACAAAACCATCCATCCATCCAACTACCCGTCCACTAACTCATCTACCCACGCATTCAACTATCCATACATCGACCCACCCACCACGCATCCAGGCACCCACTCACTCATCCTCCCATTCTTCCGTCCGTCCTTCCGTCCGTCCGTTCTTTCTTCCTCCTGTTCTCCTTCCCACCACCCACCATTTATCAAGCATGTACAAACACTACGCGCTATATAAGTTACCCAGCAAGATCCTCCAAGGTCCCACCTGTGATGTCTGAAGGAGAAAACTGTAGTCAAAAGACACTCCACATAGACGGACTCTGAGGCTGTCAAGGGGTCTGTTTTGTTTACAGCAGAGACACAACTTGAGTCTTTACTTTGTCAAGCTCAGAAATATCCCCAGTCACACACTGGGCAAGCGGGCATTCAAGCTGCTGGTCACAGGGGGGAAGAATAACGTTTCCTGTGATTTCCAGCTGGACAAAAGACCTTGGGGGATTTGGGGGCAGGGTGGGGTTTGGGCCCCACTCAGCAGTGTTCAGGGGCTATTCCTGGTCCTTGCCCAGTCCTTGGGGACCAGGTGGGATCCACTGCATGCAAGGCCCTTACCTTTACTCCTGTGCTCTCTCTCCAACCCTGACATTCTTGAAGTCTATTTTTTTTTTCCTTTGTGGGTCACACCCAGCGATGCACAGGGGTTACTCCTGGCTCTGCACTCAGGGATTACTCCTGCGGTGCTGGGGGACCATATGGGATGCTGAGAATCAAACCCGGGTCAGCCACGTGCAAGGCAAACACCCTACCCACTGTGCTATCGCTCCAGTCCCACATTCTCGAAGTCTGAACTGCTCACGTGAAATCGAGTCTAACTTGGAATTTAAAAAAAAAAAAAAAAGGTGTGTTCCCACTGGGTAGGAGCAAGGAGTGCTCGGCCAAGACCCTTCAAATGGGACATTCAGCTGGCTCACTGAGGCACACAGTGGACAGGACAGCAGGCAGGCCTGTCCCTGGGCAGGAAAGCTTCCCGCTGGTGCCCACAACCCCCAGATGGCATGACGGGCTCTACTGCCATGCCAGGGTTGCAGGTATCTCATGTTTGGGTCATAATTTATAGACCCACGCAGGGCTCTAAGTGGTTCCCGTGGGAAGGATTCTTTGCTGCCTCCATGGTGCCACTCAAAACCACCATTTTTTTTTTGTTGTTGTTGTTGTTTTGTTTTGTTTTTGCTTTTTGGGTCACACCTGGCGATGCACAGGGGCTACTGCTGGCTCTGCACTCAGGAATTACTCCTGGCGGTGCTCGGGGGACCATATGGGATGCGGGCAATCAAACCTGGGTTGGCCGCGTGCAAGGCAAACGCCCCCTCCCTGCTGTGCTATCACTACAGTCCCAGAACCAACGTTTCAAAGGGTGCTGAGGGAGGGGAGGGGAGAGGCCCTGAACCCCTCCCCGTTTCCGCGGGGGTTTGGAACTGTCAGGTCCAGGAAGGCCCCTCTCAAATGAGCCATCCCTGTAAGATGTGCCAGCAAGGCAGTACAGGGGAGAATTGGTCCATACAACTGGTTTGGATGAGGGAGGGGGACGTGCTTGAAGGGGCCTGGGGTCCTTGGGCCATGAAAGGGGTATACCCCTGAGGGGTGTGGTGTTGGAATTATGTCTCGAGAAACCACAGGACTAACACCTTTGGAAACCACAGAACCTCAAATTTAAAAAAAAATTTTTTAAACGATATTTGTGTCTGATCCCACCACTGCCTTGGTTACGAGTGGGTGACAGTCCCCCCATGGCAGATACTGCAGCCTCGAAGGGTACATGGGGGCCCCATGGGACCCAGAGAAGCATCAGGACTCCCGGAATTTTGGGACACATCTCAGCACCCCAACAGCAAGAGCAGAGGTCCAGGCAAGCTGGGGAGCTTGGCTCTGGCCCCGAGGAACACCGCGAGCCCCGCGCTCAAACAGAACGTCCTGACAGCAGGCGTGAGCTCGGCCAGGACCGGGTGGGAAGACCCTTCACCCCCACTTTCAGTGGCTCTCAGCTCCCCCCACCCCCTACAACGCCAAGTCACAGGATGCGTCGGCTGCAGGAATGCAGTGACTCACTACACACGAAGCAGTTGAGAATGAAACCCACACTCGGCAGCTGAAACTAGGAAGGCAGGGGCCAGGGAAGGTGACCCCCACGCAGGACCAAATCTGGGCAGAACCTGTGACTCCCCAGACGGAGGGAAACACTGCAGAGGGGAATCCGCATGGAAAACACCTCCCTACAATGCACCGGGTCTGAGCCTGGCCCCCGACAATGCAGCCGAATGTTCTAGGGAGCAGAAGCGGCTGCAGAGAGGGCGCCCAGGGCCGGAGCTCATGTCGGCACGTGTGGGAGCTGCAGGTGGGACCCCTGGCACCTGACGGTCCCCCAAGCATCGAGGGGTGTGACCCCTGATTCAGGAGTAGCTACTGACCATGGCCGGGCCATGGAGCTCCAGCCTCATCCTCCACCCCCCACCCCCCAAACAGCCACAAGAAAAAGACACTGGCAGAGCATGCCTGCATGAGGCCAAGCGGCCGTGACCCCCTGTTCACGAAGACACGCGAGTGTGTGACCTGGACCTGTGTCCGGGGGGGCGGGGGCGGGGGGCTGCTCTCTCACGAATGAGTAAATGAGTTCTCGTGTCCTGCTGCTTTAACACCCGAAGCCTTGGGAAGCCTCCAAGTGCCACGATTCCAGTCGTCAAACGGTTCCTCACAGCTCTCGCTCTGCCCCTCCTTACACACCCGGCCAAAGGATGTCCAGGGAGGCTCAGGATGGAAGGTGGTTTTCAGTAGCAGGGATGGCACAGCTCACGGGAGCCCATGTCACCTGAATCAGGGGCACTGGAGCAGGGCTCGAGGCAGATACTCAACACACATATGCATAGGTGTGCGTGCGCGCGCGCACACACACACACACACGCACAGACACACACATGTGAGTGCACACGCACAGAGCTAGGAGTAACTTAACTGCAGCGTATTCTGCGCCAATGCCCCACCAGGACATCTGTTTAGCTCCGTTCTCCACCAGGGGGTCCAGGGAACGGGGAGCGCAGGGGGAGGGGGCGGGGTGCGAGGCGGGGCCTCACCTGGCGTCTTCGGGGGACTCAGCGATCAGGTGGAAAGTTCTGTCGGCCAGGACGATGTCGATCCCGTTCTCCTTGCTGGTGTTATCGATGATCTCTCTGCCAAGGGGAGAAGAGAAGCGGGTCGGGAGCCCAGGTTAGAATTCAGACACGCAGGATGACACAGTTAACAGGAGCCCATGTCACCTTGAACCAGGGGCACTGGAGCAGGGCTCGGGGCAGACACTCACACACAAACACACGCAGACACACACATGTGGGCGCACATGCACAGAGTTAGGAAGAAGACTTGGGGGCAGGGGGGAAAGACCTTCCACGGAAGGAAGGAAGGAAGGAAGGAAGGAAGGAAGGAAGGGAGAAAGGGAGGGAGGGAGGAAGGAAGCGAGCACAGCACTGAGCATGGCCTGAAGCTTCACCATCTGCTTTTATCCTGGGGGGTCTCTAAGCAGGGCGGGAGGTGGGTCCTGCCGGGTGGGCTGGTCTTCTAAGCCGGGCATGGACCTTGCCTCGCGACCCTCAGCCTGCCGACCGCCATGGGTCCAGGATCTGTGACTTGCAGTCACCTCCTAGCTTGCTTCCCCCTTCTGCGGCAGGATGGTGGGGTGGACCCTGGTCGTGCTCAGAGGCCCGTGTGTGTGCCAAGTCTGCTCTCGGCCCATCCCCCCCGTCTTCTCACCCTCCCGCCTGCTGTGTCCCCCAGGGAGCTCCTCGGGCCTGGGCGCCCCCCCCATCACGCGCCCGCCTCCCCGTGCCGCACGCACTTGGCCAGGCGGACTTCCACCGTGCCCTTGAGCTTCTCCTCGCTGTCGTTCTCGAAGTACATCAGCTTTGACTGGCGCAGGACGAACCAGCGCCGCTTCCAGTTCCTGCGGGACAGCGTGGACGAGCCGCCACCCTTCTTGTGCAGCCAGCCCTGCTTGAGGGCCTCCTGCTTGGAGCGAAACCACAGGAACGTCTCGTCCTTGAGCACGCACCAGCGGCGCTTCCAGGAGTTCATGAGGCCACCTGTGGGGGGGCGAGGGGGAGCCCTTGAGCGCCCAGAAGGTGCCAGCTCGGCCTTTACCTTGCCCTGTGTGCCCTCCGACTCCGCCCCCTCGCGGAAGGCCGCCACTGGAAGCGTAAGCCAGAAAGCCCTGATGCTGAGAAGTCCCAGTCCCTCACTCCTAGGGCGTGTGAGATCCCGCCCCGTCCCAAGGGACCCAGCCCCAGGACCCGAAGACCTCCAGAACCCACCCGCGCCCCACACTCCAGGCTGCTCCCCACACACTTGGGCTGAGCCTCACACATGAGTGAAGTCCAACAAAACCCAGGTAGGCGGAACTCTGCAGCTGGGAAGTCTGAGTTCAAGGAGACCCGGAGCGGAGGTCCCCTGCCCGAGTCACCTTTGGCTGATGCCAGATAATCGCATCCCTGGCCACCATCCAGTCTGCACCGGCTTTCTCTCCCGGAAGGGAGTCACGTGACACTTGCCAGAGCCGTGCCACCCGACCACAGCCAGGCTGTTTCCCTCGGGGCGCTCTGGAGGAGGGTGGGTGAGAGCCCTCCCTGCCCCCAAGGGACCCAGTCCCAGCAGCTGAAGACCTCCGGAACTCAACTGCCACCCTGCTCATGGCTACTCCCCACGTGCTCAGGCCAAGCCTCACACATGAGGGAACCTATTCCGGAACGACGTGGCTACGTGCCGTATCATAAGACACACCCAGTCCATTCTCCAAGAGTGCCAAACCACATTTGATGGGGGTCAGATAGTAGGCAACCAACCATAGAGGGAAATATACATACATATACATATGACATATATATATGTATACACACATACACACACATTTACAGATACATATACACGGACGTTCACAAGGCTCAACCTTTAACAACACGTTAGCGATCTCTTGTAGAATGCCTTAATGGCCCCAGCCAAAATAGAACGATCTCCACACTCTTTCCTCTACGGATACTTTTTGGGTAGCATTTTCGGCGGTTTTTCATAACAAACAATATAAAATATACAAAATATATTCTTTCGGTTCTGCTTTAAAGGGACAGGGATTGGGGTTTGGGCTGGAAACATCCTAAATCTGGTGATGGGAAGGTGTCGTGGCGGTGGGATTGGTGTTTGAATATCAAATGGAATCAAATATTGTAAACTATTATTTTTGTAGGGCGTTGGCCTTGCACGCAGCCAACATGGCCGACCCGAGTTCGATTCCTCCGCCCCTCTCGGAGAGCCCGGCAAGCTACCGAGAGGATCTCGCCCGCACGGCAGAGCCTGGCAAGCTCCCCGTGATGTATTCAATATGCCTGAACACAGTAACAACAAAGTCTCCAGTGGAGACGTTACTGGGCCCGCTCGAGCAAATCGACGATCAACGGGAGGGCCTTTACCTTATATATTTTTTATAAAATGAAAAAATTCATTTAAAAAAATGGAAAGAGAAAGAAAAGAGCCTCCCCCTCGAGCACCCACCGCAGGGCGCCAGGGAGGGGAAGGGCGTCGGAAGCAGCTGGGGGAGCAGCCGCTTTCCCACGGGTACGAGATCCGTGGACGCTCTCGGCCTTGCAGGAGGGAGCGACGTGCCCGGCGCTGCAGCGGCCGGTGCCAGCTCTGTCTGTGTCCATGTGTGCATGAGGAAGAGGAGGAGGGAGAGGAGGAGGGGAGTGGAAGGCGGGCAGGAAGGGCACACAATGCGCTCGCTCCCCTCCAGCCCCGACATCCCCCGTGCCAGGCGGTCTCCGAGTGTCGCCCAGGCCCGACCGCGGGCCACATGTGACGGGGCAACCTCTCGCCTCCCAGCAGCAGGCCGAGCCCAGCCCGGCCCTACCTTTCATGAAGAGGAAGCCGTGGAAGTAGGGCAGGGCGACGCAGCTGTACACGGAGTCCCGCCGGCAGGACAGCTCGTCGTCCGTGTCGAAGCGCGTGTCGAAGTCCTCCTCGCTGTCCTCGAACTGGGCCGCGAGGGGTGAGACAGGCAGGATGAGCGGAAAGGGAAGAGGGGAAGGCCCCCCCCGCACACACACACACACACACGCGCGTGGCCACGAACAGGAACGAGGCAAGGAAGTCCCCTGTATACACGTCCACACACACACACACAAACACACACACACACTGCCATGAGCAGAAATGAGGCGAAGCCCCCTGTATGTACGTACGTACACACACACACACACACACACAGCCATGAGCAGAATGAGGTGAGGAAGCCCCCTGTACACATGCACACACACATGCACACACATGCACGTATGCACACACACACGACCATGAACAGAAATGGAGGTGGAAGTGAGGAAGCCCCCTGTACACACACACACACACACACACACGCACACACACACTGCCAGCCGCCACCTACCCTCAAATGCACACAAGGCTGCCACCAACCCTCACAGAAGGTCCCCATACACAAACACACGTGCACACACACAAGGCTGCCACCTACCCTCACAGCAGAAATGGAGGTGAGGAAGGCCCCCATACACATACTCACACACACACACAACAGACACACAGACACAGAGACACACACAAGGCTGCCACCTACACTCACAGCTGGGGTTGGAACCACGACTCAGAAGCAACAATGATTCCTAACACCACCCCACATGTGGCTGTCTGAAGCCCAGGTTGGTCAAACACCGACTGTCTGACCAAAGACTATGTGTGAGTGAGCGTGCGTGTGTGCGTGTGCGTGTGCGTGTGTGTGCTGGTTTTCAGGCTACACCGGCGGTGCTCAGGGCTCACTCTTGGCAGTGGGGGGTGGGGGGAGGGGAACTCGAGGCTCAGCTGCATGAAGACAAGAGTCTTAACTCCTGGGCTATCTCTCCAGTCCCATTCTTGAAAGCAGCATCGATGTCAAAGGGTATAATTTGGACCAAACACTGTCAGGGTTGACACTCTCTTTAAAGGACTGTGCCCAAAATAGCTGCAGGTCTTAGAAAGTCAGGGGAGCGAGCGAGAGAGAGAGAGAGAGAGAGAGAGGAGAAAGAAAGAAAAGGAGAGAGAGAGACTGTGTAAAAACTTATTTGATCAGAATATAGGAAAAGTGACACTCTCACGGACGGCACAGTCGCCCAGATCTAAAGAGCGGGCTGTGTTCCACGGCAGATCGGCCGCCGTCTCCCTGGGAAACGGGCTTTAGGATGTTAATAAAGAGTGAGGGGGGCCGGAGGGTGTGAGCAGCTGGAAGCAGGGTGGGTTCTGAGTGAGAATTAGGAATTTCCGCCAGTGCCCAACCTGCTTGGGACTATCCCCACAGCTGCGAGTCTGAGAAGGTTGCCGAGAAAACAGAAACAGGGCGGAGAGGCGGCCACAGCGGCGTTCCCTCACAGTGCCGACACGTCCGAGCGACGTCGGTCTCCAATGTGCCTCTCTGGCCTCTGAGGGCCTGGACCCGGGCCATGACTTTTCCGTGTCCACTTTGCTGCCCGAGCGGCCCCTTCTACCCACACCGGTTGCCAGGAAAACCCTTTGCTCACTTCTGTTGGCTATCCGCCTCTGCCCTGGCCCGCCAACGTTAATGCAAGCCAAGGGGGGGGGAATGAAAAAATAGAAGGAAACTACTGGGTCAGTGCTGGAGCCAGAGAGTCTGTAGACCCTGCGTTATCCCTCTTTTTTTTTTTTTCATTTTGGGTCACACTTGGCAGTGCTCAGGGGTTACTCCTGGCTCTGCACCCAGGAATCACTCCTGGTGGTGCTCGGGGTACCACATGGGATGGCGGGGATTGAACCCAGGTTGGCTGCGAGCAAGGCGATCATCCTACCCGCGGTCCTACCTCCCTGGCCCTGCAGAATCCCAGAGCAGGTCGGCCTGTGAGCTACGCAGGTCACGGAACTCCCACGTGCCCTTAGTATGTCGCATTTCCTAAGCCGCTGCAAAGTTAGGCGAAACTTTTCATTCTCCGTGAACAGCTCCAATGTTTGGGGGCCAGAGAGATGGTGCAAAAGGGGGAGGTGTGTGCCTCGCAAGTGGACACAGTGGTGAGCCCTGGCTTGAGTCTCCGGGACCACGGATGGTCCTCTGAGCACTGCCAGGGGACCCTCCCGGGCAGAGAGCCAGGAGTAGCCCCTGAGCATCGTGGGGTGTGGCCTGAACACCAGTGCTCAAGAGACTACTGGGTACGGCTCAACCCCCTGGCACCACAAACACACAAAATGACCGTTTTCTTAGACTTTGGCCCCCAGAGCACAGTGGCCGACCCCCCAGTGCTCACTGTTTCTGGCAAGAGAAAGGGGGTGAATGTCTGTGAGTCTTTGCTTTTTCGGTTTGTTCATGGGTCACACTCTGAGATGCTCAGAACTTACTCCTGGCTCTGCGCCCAGGGGGCCAGACGGGGTGACCAGGATAGAACGTAGGTGGGCCGTGTGCAAGGCCATCGCTGTCCCTGCCCTACGATGGCTGACATCTGTGACCGCTTCTTGCCCAGCTGTGCGAGTGAGAGTGAACACAGGTATACGTATGTGTGTGTATGTGTGAGAGTGTGTGTGTATGGTCTGTGTGAGTGTGTGCGTGAGTGTGGCATGTGAGTGTGTGGTATATGAGTGTGTATGTGAGTGTGGGTGAGTGTGGTATGTACGAGTGTGTGTGTATGTGTGTGTGGGTATATCTGAGTGTGTGTGGTATGTATGTGTGTGGTGTGAGTGTGAGTGTGTGTGTGTGTGTCGGCACTCTGCTGCCTGAAGCGTGGAGCCGGGGGTCCGTGCAGCCCGTCCCTGTCCCGGGAGCGGGTCGGGGCAGGGGGCTCACCGAGGACTGGGCCCCCTCGGAGCTGAAGCGGTAGGCGCCCGAGCTGTTGTAGGTGCCCACAGAGCAGCGGTAGTCGGGCGACCACTGGCTGCCGCAGGAGGTGGAGAAGGTCACGCTGCTGCCCGACGTCACGGCGCCGTCCTCGTAGTCGTCCTGGTCGTAGTCGTAGTCGCCGTCCGGGCCGGGCAGGCCGCCGGCGCCCTGCGGCAGGCAGTAGGTGGGCTCCCCGGAGGAGGCGTCGTCGGGCTCGGAGGGCGCCAGGCGTGCGGTGCTGGCGGCGCCGGGGCTGGCGGGCCCCACCGTGTCGTTCATGTAGGGGTCCTCCTCGGAGGACTCGTCGCTGGTGCGGATGCCGCTGGTGCGCTGGTCCGAGTGGCCGTGCTCGCTGGGGTTGGGCGAGTCCTTGAAGGCGTCGTCGTCCGCCTCGAAGCCCTCGTCCACCTCCTCCTCGGGGTAGGGCTGGCTGAAGTTGAAGCCCGGCGCGGCCGCCGCTGGGGCCGGCGGTGCCCCCGACAGCGAGCGCTCGATGTTGCGGACACACTCGTCGATCTCGGCGAAGTTGAGCGACTCCAGGAACTCCTGGGCGGCCCGGCAGGCCTCGTCCTCCAGCCGCCGCAGCTCCTCGTCCCGCAGCTGCTGCAGCCTCTGCAGCGACGCCTCGGTCAGCGCCAGCTCCTGCCGCTCCTTCACGCGCTGCAGGTCCTCGATCTCCCTCTCCAGCCGCAGGATCTCCTCCACCTGCCTGTTCTCCTTCTGCGCCTCCAGCTCCCGCGCCCGCTCGGCCTCGCGCTGCCGCTGCTCCAGGGCCTCCAGCTCCTGCTGCCGCCGGGCCTGTTCCAGCTGGGGGCAGAGAGAGGGGCGGACGGACAGACGGGTGGTCAGCGCGGGCGACTCGCCAGAGGGCCCCGGGTCTGGCTCTTGGGGGCTGGGGCCCGGGAGGAGGAGGAGGAGGCTCCGAGGCGGGTCCCTGGTCGTAGCAGTCTGGCATCGTCCTTTTTTTTTTTGCTTTTTGGGTCATACCCGGCAATGCACAGGGGTCACTCCTGGCTCTGCACTCAGGAATTACTCCTGGCGGTGCTCGGGGGACCCTATGGGATGCTGGGAATCGAACCCGGGTCAACCACGTGCAAATGCGCTATCCGCTGTGTTACTGCTTCAGCCCCATGGTGTCCTCCAAAGGAGAGGCTGGGTCTGGGTATAGATCCACGGGCTGGCACATGTGCTTGGCATGACGGAGCCCCGAGTGTGAACCCTGGTACCACGTGATCCACGTGTTGGCTCACAGACAGGGGCAAATGAGACCTGGAAGGATAGGGCCACACAGAAAGTGGGGCTGTGTGCACAGTGTGAGACCGTGAGGACACGGCAAGGAGGAGGTCGTGTGCAAGTGCCAGAGAAAGGTCTGGAAGGCCGCCAAACAACCAACACTCGGGGGTTTGGAGTGACAGCACAGCGGGGAGGGCGTCTGCCTTGCACGTGCCCGACCAGGGTTCGATCCCCAGCATCCCATAGGGTCCCCCGAGCACCGCCAGGAGTGATTCCTGAGTGCAGAGCCAGGAGGAGCCCCTGAGCATCGCTGGGTGTGACCTGAGAAGCAAAAGCGAAAAAACAACCACCACCAGGACCTTTGTTCCTGCAGATCCCTGAACTGTGAAAACATTCATTTATTTTTTCTTTTGGGGTCACACCCGACAAAGATCAGGAGTTACTCCCCAACCTCTGCACTTAGGAATTACTCCTGGCACTGCTCAGGGGACCCTATGGGATGCAGGGGATGGAACCCGGGTCGGCCGTGTGCAAGGCAAACACTCTCCCTCCGAACTATTGCTCCAGCCCTGATCATTTCTTTTTTCAGATGATGAGCCATACCCGGTGATGCTCAGCCTTTACCCCTGGCTCTGTATTCAGTGCTGGCGGGCTTGGGGGCGACTTACGAGATGGGATGTCAGGGACTGAACCTGGGTGGGCTGTGTGCAAGGAAATTGCCTCACCCACCGTACTACTGCTCTGGGTCCCAGAATGTCCATTTCTGCCCATGAGCCCCCTGCCCCAAGGCTGGGGGTGGTCCCAGTCCTGGCAACCTGACCCTCTGTTTACGTTGGGGTGCCTGCTAGAATTTTAAGCATCCACTTACTTTCACCCAATGGCAATGGGTTAGAAACGGCCCCAGGAAGATTCTCTCTAATGGTTCTCTCCCTCCTCCTAACGCTTTCTCCCAGCTTTGAATCTGAGTCCGTCTCTGAAGCAGCAAAGGAAGGAGCTGAGGAGAGGCTTGGGAGAAGGGTGCTCCTTACCTGCTGGGCACGGAGCTCCTCTTCTCTCCTCCTCCTCTCCCGCTCTCTAAAGAACACGAGGAAAAAGAACAATGAAACAGGAGAATGTAAGTGCAATTTAAGTGTTTGCAAAGTACCTAAGAATCACTCTTCAGAATGCAAACCCCCCCCCGACTCCCCACACACACACCCCGAGAAACACCTCTAAAACACACACAAAGCCCAAGGTCTTTTTTCCAGTCTTTTCCTACGTAATTCTTTTGAGACGAAGCATTTCTGGGGGCGAGGAGGTGGTAGGTTCACGCTCAGAAGTGCTGAGAGCTCACTCCTGGCTCTGCACTCAATGATCACTCCTAGCAATGCTTGCAGGACCAAATGGGGTGCGAGGGATCAAATCAGGGTTGGCTGTGCGCGAGGCAAGCCCCCGACCCCCTGTACTATCTATCTCCCTATTCCCAGGAGAATCAGCTTTACGTGCTGTTTTTAAAGAGCCCAACAGTTAGGGAGCTAGGTCAAAGGGCTCGAGCGACACTTTGCATGCAAGAGGCCTGGGTTCGATCCCTAGCACCACATACACCCTCAACATTGGGCGTGGAGGTGCTAGAGCGATAGCACAGCGGGTAGGGCATTTGCCTCGCATGCGGTCAACCCAGGTTCAATTCCCAGCATCCCATAGGGTCCCCCGAGCACCGCCAGCAGTAATTCCTGAGTGCAGAGCCAGGAGTAATCCCTGCGCATCGCCGGGTGTGACCCAAAAAGCAAAAAAAACAAAAACGAAAACAAAAACATTGGGCATGAGACCAAAACGAAAGCAAAACCAATGTAAAAAGAACCCATAAGCTCTAAAATGAACATAATTATTTTAGTGTTATAGCTTACTTAGCTGGACGGAGCCAGAGCACAGTGGGTAGGGCGTTTGCCTTGCACGCGGCTGGCCCTAGTTTAATTCCTCCGTCCCTCTTAGAGAGTCCGCAAGGTACCGAATGTATCCCGCCTGCACGGCAGAGCCTGGCAAGCTACCCTCGGCGTATTCAATATGCCAAAAACATTAACAACAAGGCTCATGATGGAAGACGATTACTGGTGCCCACTCGAGCAAATGGATGAATAACGGGAAGACAGTGCTACAGCTTACTTAGCGAAAGGGCTAGGATACCACTCTTGGGACAGTTGTTTCAGAAATCTTGATTTTAAGTAGAAGTGTTTTAAATCTAATTGCTTTGTCTGGGGGCCATACCCGGTGGTGCTGAGAGATCACTCCGGGTGGTACTTGGGGGAGCAGATGGGGGACGGGGGATTGAATGTGGGTCAGCCACATGCAAGATAAGCACCTGCTGGACTATCTCATCAGCCCCTAACTGTTAATTTTAGCACTGTCGCACTGTCCTCCCGTTGTTGATCGATTTGCTCGAGCGGGCACCAGGGACATCTCCACTGTGAGACTTGATACTGTTTTTGGCACATCGAGTACGTCACAGTTAGCTTGCCAGGCTTTGCAGTGCAGGTGCGATACTCTCGGTAGCTTGCTGGGCTCTCCAAGAGGGGCAGAGGAATCAAACCAGGGTCAGCCTGGGTCAGCTGCGTGCAAAGCAAGCTCCCTACCTACTGTGCTATCGCTCCAGCCCGACTGTTAATTTTATAACGAAAAAACATTTTTTTTAATAAAGCAACCACGAAGGGGCTAGGAGACGGTGCACATGCACGGAGATGTGCTTTGCACACACAGGAAACCAAGTTCCCCAGCCAGCACCTCGAGGTTCCTCAAATACGTACCAAATTAGCCCTGGGGCCCACATCGTAGGGCCTGAGCACTGAGCATCAGCCCCAGTTGATAGGGCCGGATGTGGCACTAGGCCTTCTGGGCACTGTTTGGGATACCTTCCTCCTAGCTCCCCAAAACAAGAAGAACACAATCTCTCTTGACAATAGACTTATTTACTTTAAAAAACATAGAGGGGCTGGAGTGATAGCACAGCGGGTAGGGCGTTTGCCTTGCATGCGGCTGACCCGGGTTCGACTCCCGGCATCCCATATGGTCCCCTGAGCACCGCCAGGAGTAACTCCTGAGTGCAGAGCCAGGAGCAACCTCTGTGCATCGCTGGGTGTGACCCAAAAAGCAAAAAAAAAAAAAAAAAAACCATAAAGGGGCTTGAGTGATAGTCCAGTGGGAAGGACATCTGCTTTTGATGCAGCCGACCCGAGTTCAATGCCCGGCATCCCACAGGGTCCCCCAAGCACTGCCAGGAGTAATTCCTGAGTGCAGAGCCAGGAGTCAGCCCTGAGCATCACTGGGTGTCATCCAAAAAGAAAAGAAAAAAAGAAAACCATAAATACAACTTTACACAGAGCCGAGCCTTCAATCAAAGAACAGGAAAGACCCCCTGAAAGAGTTCCTTTGCGGGGCTGGAGCGATAGCACAGCGGGTAGGGCGTTTGCCTTGCACGCGGCCAACCCGGGTTCGATTCCCAGCATCCCATATGGTCCCCTGAGCACCGCTAGAGGTGATTCCTGAGTGCAGAGCCAGGAGTCACCCCTGTGCATCGCCAGGTGTGACCCAAAAAGCAAAAAATAAAAAAAAGTTCCTTTGGGACGGGGCAGATTCTCAGGGTTAGAACTCCAGCTGTGCAGCTACAGACATGAAAGCTCTGGGGTGAGGTGGGGTGGGGGGAGCCGGAAGGGAGCACAGAGATCAGCGCACAAACTTCACAACGTGAGGCCCAGGTGGACCCTGAGGCCAGGTGCTCCTGGGACCGCAGCAGACGTGGCCATCAGGCAAAAGCCCGAGAGCGCTTCTGGGGTGCCGCAGGCGGGCGGGGCCGTACCTCTCCTCCTCCTCCTCCCGTCTCCTCTTCTCCTCCTCCTCCCGCTTCTCGGCCAGCAGCTGTCTGTAAACGCGGCGCGCCCGCTGCCCTCGGAGCTGCTTCTGGAAAACGACGGCCGCTTCCTTGAGGCGCAAGAAGCGCGTCCTCCACAGGAACGCCCTGTAGTTCTTCTGGATTATCACCACGCAGCCCAGCACCTTCCTGTACTGCTTCCTGCAACAGGGCCAGAAAGCCACGTCGGACCGCGGAACAAGGGCGGACGTCCCCCGGGGTGGACGGGGCACCGGGACGAGAGCCGGGGGTGGCGGACGAGCAGAGGATGCCGGCCAGAGCCCCCGCAGAGCAGCAGGAAAACAAAAGGATAATCACGCACCCGAGTCAAGCAAAAGGCCTCTCATTATCTGGGCTAAATAAACACTCGGCCTCTAATGCGGACGGGAGCATCCGGGCAGGAAGCCGGGCGGTAAACAGAGCCCAGGTTGGCAGCCTCGGGGTCCGCCGAGCCGGCTGGCCTGGGCGGTGGGAACGGTCGTGTGGGCACATGACGGGGCCTCTGGCCTGCACGGGCACAGAACCCCAGGGCGGGGGCCGGAGTGGCCTGCTGCAAGGGGGGTAACAGGACCCGAGTCCCCCTGCACTGGCCCCTGGGCTCTGAGCCACCCACAGGGCCGCCCTGCCCTCAGTGGACTGTCCATGCAGGCGGGGTGTGCAGTGAACGCAGACAGCCCGTGGACCCCTCTGGGCCTCCTCGCGGGACTGAAGACTCACCCCCACCCGCACCCCCACCTTCTTACCGTGCCAAGTAGCCCAGCACGTGCGCCCGGATCACCATCGCCGCCCGAGTCACTTCCTCCTCCCGCTTCTTCTCCAGCTTCTGCTCCAGGGATTCTCGAAGGAACACCTGCCCGGGATGGAGGGACGGAGGGAGGGTTGGACCCATGGGCAGCGAGGACTGGGGCGGGGGGGTGGAGACGGCGGCGCTGGGGGCAATGTGCATGGTGGTGCCGAGTGAGGTGAATATGATGGGGTGTGTGTGTGTGTGTGTGTGTGTGTGTGTGTGTGTGTGTGTGTATGATGGTGTTGTGTTGTGATGGGGGTTGTGTGGGAGTGTATATGATGGTGCTCTGTGGGGGTGTGTATATAATGGGTGTTGTGTTGGGAGGGTGTATGTGATGGGTGTTGTGTTGGGAGGGTGTATGTACATAACGGTGTGTGGTGTTGGGGTGTATGTGAGTGTGTATGGTGATGCTGTGTGTCAGCTGCTGCCCTCAGAGAGGCAGCAGAAAATGTACACAACAGTGCTATGGGGGTGTGTACATGATGGCATCGTGTGTGTATACGGTGGTGTTCTGTACGATGAGAGTGTGTATGATGGCAATGTGTGTGTTTGTGACTGTATCTGGTGGTGCTGTGTGTGTGTGTGTGAGAAAAAGTGTACATAACAGCACTGTGTGTGAAAGACTAAATGGTGATACTGTGTGTGTGAGAGAGGCAGTGTACACACATACAGTGCTGTGTATAAATGTGTGCTGTGCTTCTGTATGTGAGTGTATGTATGTAGCGGTGTATGTGTCTGTGTGTGAGAGCGTGTCCATGGTGGAGTTGGGTGAGTGTGTGTGTGTGTGTACGGTGGTTCTATGTGAATGTGCTGGAGAAGGAATATGGCGACACTGTGTGCAGGACTGCGACACGGCGGTGTGTGTTTGAGTCTGAGTGTAAACGGTGGCGCCAGGGAGTGTGTGTGGAGGTGAGTGCGTGCACGGTGCTGCTATGTGAGAGTGTGCTGCGATGGTGTGTGTGTCTGAGTGTGAATGATGGTATAATGTGCATTTATGAGGGAGGGCATCTGGGGAGGCTGTGTGTGTGAGTGCGATGTGACTGTGTGAGTGTGTATGGCGGTGCTGAGTGTGTGTGTGAAGGTGAACGTGTATGTGTTGGTACTGTGGGTGTGTGCGTGAGGGAGTGAGATGAGGCGGTGTGTGTGTGTGTGAGTGTGTGGTGGTCCTGTGTGTGCGTGTGAGACAGTTTACGGGGCTGCCGTGTGGCGATCGTAACGTAGTGTGTTTGTGTGTGATGCGCTGTTGTGTAGCTCTCAACCCCCTTATTACGTTCCCCACCCAGCCACGCCTCCGAGACTCCCGGCGGGGGGTGGGGGGGTGGGGGGTGGTTGCTGTGGTGTTTCACCATCTGCCACGGCCCTGACGTTTGTAAGACACAGTGATAATCTACTGCGAGAAGGAAAACCAAAGGACACATGAAAGTCGACGGTTTTGTGCAGGTGACGGGACCCTGGATAAGTATCTGATCTCGTTAATGCGGACAGACACAAGAGAACTGGCAGCAGGGGAACACCCGGCAATGCCCAGGGCTTGCTCCTGGCTCTGTGCTCAGGAATCCCCCTGGCGGTCCTTGAAGGACCACATGGGGTGCTGGGTGCGGGGCAAGCACCCTCTCTGCTACCCACGGTACCTGCTCCAGCCCCCCAAAAGCTGCCATCAGGAACGAATTTCAGACAAGTGAGTCTGAAAGCAGAATGACCGGTCCAACTGCCACCCAGCCTGCCCCACCCAGGAGGAATAAAGATACCACTCACTGTCCTGCTTCTAAGACCCCCGAGACCCCTGCTTGTCAAACAGGCTTGAAAAATGGCACTTGGGGGTGGGGGGCAGGGGAATTACCCCTGGTGGTGCTCAGGGGATCATATGGGATGCTGGGAATTGAACCTGGGTTGGCCACGTGCAAGGCAAACGCCCTACCCGCTGTGCTATCGCTCCAGCCCCAACTCAGGCTTGAATTTTAAGGACTCAGGGGGACAAAGATCAACCAACACAGACCAGGTGACTGGAGCAGCAGGTGGTGCCCAGTCAGGAGGCAAAGAAGAGGAAACGTCTAAAGCAGAACCGGTTCTGTGCCCAGCGTCCCATAGGGTGATCTGAGTGCAGAGGCAGGGGTGAGCCCCGAGCACCGCCAGGGTGCCCCCTCATCCCCCGCCAAATCAGTCAACAATTAAACGGCACTAACAGCTCTGGAGTCGAGCATCCTCCACCCAGATCCTCCAAATCCCAGTAGGCGGGGGTCACACCCACCACCTGGCCCCCTGGCGCCGTGTAATCCCATCAGCGGCCAAGACTCAGAGACTATAAAATCCAGATCCCGGAACCGCGCGGCCGCATTCGCAGCTGCGTGACATCTTATCAGGACATCTTTTTATGACATCTTATTGTCTCATTCCTACTTTGGACAAACTGGCAGGCTACCGAATGTAGCCTGCCCACAGGGCAGAGTCTGGCAAACTCCCCGTGGCGTCCCCAATATGCCAAATACCAGTAACAATGATGGGTCTCATTCTCCTAAAGAGCCTTGAATATAATCTCAGGGCTAGGATGAAAGAGACGTTACTGGGGCCTGCTCGAGGCAATCGACGAATAACAGGATGATGAAATGAAATGAAATGAACAGCTCTGAACACAGACCCAATACCTGCCCCGAGACCTGGATGGGACTGGCTGAATAGGGGTGCGGGCATCTGGGTGTGAGGGCAGAATGCCAGGTGGAGACTCAATCGACCTGATGAGTAACAGCCATGTTCGGGCACAAGCGGCCAATGAGTTCATCCAGTTGGGGTATGAGCTGTGACGTCCCGCCAAGGAACACGTCACGTCAAAGAGGAAGGGCTATCACGCCTGCCAATACGTTTCACTGCGCTGAGTCCGAGGTCTGGCTGGTGTGGAAGGAGTGGGCATGCTGACGGGCTGTATGTGTATCAGCCGGGGCTGGGTGTCGTGATGCTGAGAGCAACTCTGAGTGGGCAACACCAGCTCCACCACGGCCAACGCCCAGACCTGGAGGCCACAGGAGAAGGGGAGAGGACGCCAGCCTCAGAAGGGAGAGGAGGGGCTGGAGCGATAGCCCAGCGGGGAGGGCGTTTGCCTTGCATGTGGCTGACCCGGGTTCGATTCCTGGCATCCCAGAGAGTCCCCTGTGCACCGCCAGGAGTAATTCCTGAGTGCAGAGCCAGGAGTGACCCTGGAGCATCACTGGGTGTGACCCAGAAAGCAAAAAGCAAAAAAAAAGGAAAAAAAGAAGAACAGAGTGAAGCCTGGCAATGTTTATCCTCCGTCTTGGAGACTCAGAGTTCGAGACTCCTGGCCACTGGACATTGTGAGATCGTAAGTTTGGTGGAAAGATGCTAAGTTTTAGCTTCGATGGCAAGAGCTACAACCAAGGCTCTGAAGCCACGATGCTGGTTTCTTGAATCCCAGCCGGCCACGACACCTTCGGGACAGTGGGATACGCCCACAGTCGACTCTCCCTCCGCAGTGGCTGCAGAATCATGATGAGCTGCGTGGCCCCGGCAGAATCACGACGGACTGCGTGTCCCCACCATGAACTGAATTTGCATCTCCCCTTCCCTCCCTGCTTCTTATGTGGAAATTCTCCCGTAATGTGTGAGTATGACGTGATGTGGTGTGATGTCAAAGTTTAATATAGTGGAAATTCTCCTATCACGTGGAACTATAATGTACTGTGGTGTAATGTGGAAGTTCTCCTGTACTGTGTACGTGTAATGTAGTTTAGGGTGGAAGTGTAAAAGTTCTGTGATGTGTGAGTGTAATGTAACAGCGTGTCGTGTGTGTAAGTGTAACGTAACTGGAAATTCTGAAATGTGTGAGTGTGACGTGCCGTGATACAGCACAGTGTGGAAGTGTAACGCAGGGTGGAGGTTCTTCTGTACTGTGCAAGGCCAGGTGGAGGTGATGGAGGTGACTGTGTGACATTCTCCCATAACGTGGAGGAGGGTGGAGGATGAGTTCAGGTCCTGAGGGTGAGCCCCGACGGGGACAAAGGCGGAACAGAGACCAGAGCTCACTCTAGCTGCCAGGGGAAGGCACAGCAAGGACGCGTTCGCCGTAAGTAAGCCAGGGAAAGGCTCGGAGGTTCTGATCAGAACCTGGTCCTGCTGGCAGCCCGGATTTGGCCTGAATACGAGACATGCACAGCCCACCCGGGCTGGGGTGTGCTGGGGCAGAGAAGCTCCTTGGCTAAATTCGTGCTGGGTGTGAAAATAGTCTGTGACGTCTGGTCCTCGCAGGCTTGGGAGGAGCAGGCGTGGCCTTGGGGGAGGGGAACCTTAGATCCCGAGGCCAGCCCTCAGCCTCCTGCACTTCTGGGCCACATTCAGGCCACCCCTGGGGGAGTCGGGAGCGAGAGCGGAAACGCCAACCAGGCTGGTGCTGGTTCCCATAGGGGGAAAGGTCAGACTGCCAGATTCCAGAGCTCAAGTCTGTCTCCAAGCTAGATGGCCCCTGGCATCGGTCCCCCGACATGTACTCCACGTGGCTCTCTAGACTGGACCTGGGCAAGCTTTGGGGTGTCAGACCCGCCCCCGTGGCACCTCCGCAGGGCGCAAGGCTGACACTCGGGTCCGAGAGAGGAAAAGCGAGTGGAGTCTCCGTGCAGCCTGTAAGACGCTGCAGCTGCTGCCGCCAGCCCAGATGTGGGTAGCGCCTTCACGAGAACACATGCTACTTAGGGTCCCAAGCGTCCACAAGTCCCCCAGTGCACCCCCAAAATAAAAGATCAGAATCCCGCCCCCCCCCCCGAGCAAAGGCCTTCAAGGCAAGACAAGACAGGGCTGGAGCGATAGTACAGTGGGTAGGGCGTTTGTCTTGCCGCCCGGGTTCGATTCCCAGCATCCCATATGGTCCCCTGAGCCCCGCCAGGAGTAATTTCTGAGTGCAGAGCCAGGAGTAACCCCTGTGCATTGCCGAGCGCAACCCAAAAAGCGAAAGAAAGAAAGAAAGAAAGAAAGAAAGAAAGGAAGGAAGGAAGGAAGGAAGAGAAAAAAGAAAAGAAAGAAAAGAAAGACAGGAAGACAGACAAGTCAAGACAAGAGATTGCAGCAGACATGATGCCACTAACATCAGCACCTAGGAGCGTCCTCCAGGGCGGTGCTCCCCCAGCCCCTCACCTTCGTCTTGCCCAGCTGCCACTCGCTGCTGGAGGCGTCGTAGAGCTGCAGAAGGGCCATGCATTTGCCCCTGACGTCCTCGGGCAGGGCCACGCTGCTCATCAGCACTTTATACCTGCAAGGTGAACACGCCTGGGTCACCCGCACTGCCCCCCTCGCCCACTTCCCCGGCTCTGGGAAGGAGAAAGGAGCCCCTCGGCCCCGTCTTGCCTTTTGTAAAAATCCTGAAAGGGCCTCCGGACGGCGTAGCCGGCTTTGCGGATCTTCACCGTTTCCAGCATCCCCGAGTAGCGCAGCTGGTTGAGGACGACCGCCTGGTCGAACTGGTCTGGCATCTGAAACGAGCCGGGAAAGCAGAGAGAGGATGAGGGGGGCCGAAAGGCAGAACTGGAGCCTCCTGGTGCCATCTGGAAGGAGACGGTAATTCTGTCATAGGGACACCTGCACGCCAGTGGCGGTGCAAATACCCCGGTCATCGATGGCATCTCTGTCCTCTCTGTGTTCTCCCAGTGGGTTGGAAGGCACGGAGCAATTTCCACGGTGGACAGTTCCACAGTTCCAGCCTCACTTATAGACTTTGCATCACCCCCTGTATTGCTGAGAGGTAACTCCTGGCTCTTTCTCTGGGGTTTGGGGGAGCAGATGGGGTGCCAGGGATTGAATCCAGATCATGAGTGTGCAAGCAAGTACCCTACCCATTGCTCTAACTCTCCAGCATCACCACCCTTTTCTTTTTAGAGTGTTGTGTATATTATTTTTTCACACTTCACTTAATCACTTAACTTCCCGTTAGTCGTCGATTTGCTCGAGCGGGCGCCAGTAACGTCTCCATTTGTCCCTGTCGTGTGCTAGTGTAGCCCAATGGCATCTCTTCGCTCCGGGAACATGGAGGGCCTCAAACCGATCGTTCATGACCATTTTTTAAAAATTTTTTATTAGTGAATCACTGTGAGGTACAGTTACAAACTTTTGTGCTTGCGTTTCAGTCATACAATGGTCAAGTACCCATCCCTCTATCAGTGCCCGTTCTCCACCACCAATGGTCCCAGCATCCCTCCCACCACCCCACCCTGTCCTCTCCACTCTACCCCACCTCTGTGGCAGGGCATTCCCTTCTGCTCTCTCACCATCACCCCTTTCTCGCCCCCCTGGGGCCACACTTGACAGTGCTCGGGAGCACCTCCTGGCTGGGTGCCTGGAGGTCCCTCTGAGTAAGAGCTGGATATGGTCCCCAGAACTCCTGAAAAAAGTGCTCCTCCGCATTCTCTCTCTGCCCCTTCACTTCTGCCTCAGGAAGGCACCGCGGGGTGTTTGTTCACTAAAGAAGACAGAGACCCAAGGGGGTAACGTGACAGCCAGAGCCCCGGGGGGGGGGACGGAGATGGGGAAGGGTCTTCATTTTCCTCCATCTTCGGTTGAATAGCAGTTTGGGGAGAGCACCCTCTGAGAACCACTCAACAAATCCATCCGCAAATGAAAGAGAGGAATTCAGACCAAGGCGAGGAATGTTCTGGAATGTTCGCTTTGATCCGCTCCGCTGCCAAACAGCCTTGCAGCTAGGACAATGGTCACTCTGGGAAGAGCCCCGAAGTAGGTCAGTGGTGTTTTCTGGCTTATTAGACAGAGCCTTCTTTCTGAGCCTTTCCCTTTGAGGGAGCTCTATCCTGCTGGCCAAGAAACTTGGTGACTGAAAATGCCACAGGACTCAAAGAGATTGTTAAAAAATGCCCAAGACGGAAAGTGACTTCAAATTTGCAATCCTTAGAAAGGCAGTTGGTCAGGAAAACCCGACTTGGCTGCAAGCCCTGTTCTTCTCGAGGCTTTCCAAACCAGCACCCCATTACTCTGAGGCTGGCGCTGCCTGCCCCGGGCTGATTCTCACACACCATCCCTTAGCAAACTCCATAGCGGGGGCCCGTGCTCAGCTGGGAGGCCCTTGGATCAGCCTCTATCCAGGGAGAACCGGCAATTTAGGACAAAGCTCCCAGGAATCGGGGCTCCCTGGCTGCAACCTTCTTTATTTTAATTCTTACTGGTTTCCGAGCTCCACCTGGCAGTGCCAAGGGCTTACTCCTGGTGGAGCTCCCTGTGGGATGCCAAGGGTTGAACCCAGGTCAGCCACATGCAAGGCAAGCACCAGACAGACTAGACTATCTCTTCAGCCCCGGTTCTGATTACTCTTGAGGGTCTGGAGCAATAGCACAGCGGGTAGGGCGTTTGCCTTGCATGCGGCTGACCCGGGTTCGATTCCCAGCATCCCATAGGATCCCCTGAGCACCGCCAGGAGTGATTCCCGAGTGCATGAGCCAGGAGTAACCCCTGTGCATTGCTGGGAGTGACACCAAAAGCAATGAATAAATAAATTAAGAAATCCTTTGAAAAAGTAAGAACTATGTTTTTAAAAAGGAAAACAAAATTACCCTTGGGGACTCTTCTACCTGATCTTTGCATTACAAACTGAGGCATGGGGCTGGAGTGATAGCACAGCGGGTAGGGTGTTTGCCTTACATGCAGCCGACCTGGGTTTGATTCCCAGCATCCCATAGGGTCCCCTGAGCACCGCCAGGAGTAATTCCTGAGTGCAGAGCTAGGAGTAACCCCTGAGCCTCGCTGACCCAAAAAGCAAAAAATAAATAAAAATTTAAAAAATAATACAAAAACCAAGGCATGACATAAGAGTGAACACGCTTCTGCTGAGTTGACCAGGACTCACGCGCCGTTCGCAGTAACCCACCAAGATGAGAACAGAGCTGAAACAACACGGCCAAGACCCCCTGCACCAACTCCCCGCCCCCTGCCCACACTATTTAATCCAGCAGCAGAGAAACCGCTTCTGATCCTTCAGCCCTTAAGAACCCTTCACATACCAAACCAGACCAGCCTCCCAAAACCCGGCTCCAAAGCTCCCCCAGTCCTTCACTCCACACCCTCCTTGCTGCCTTCCCTCCCTCCTCTCTCCGGGAATTATCAAAAGCTTTGAGAAAGGACTGCCGGAGGGTCGACCTGCGCCCCCCAAGTTCTGCAGAAGCTTACCATCTTGCAGCTTGCCGACTCTCCGGCCAAGATTCATATGGGAACAGCTGCTGACCTTTTGGCCAAGGCCAAAGACGGGGAACAATAATCAACACCATTCCTGCGCCTTAAAAAAAAGTGCCGGGTTGCCATGGCGACCCCTCCCATTCTCAGGCTAATCAGTGTGGCGTGGTCCTAGGATTTCAGATGGCAGGAGAGTGCCACCAGGAACCGCTGCTGTGTGCCTGCCTCAGGCGGTCATTTAACCACGGGAAAGGGGGCAGCTATTGGCTGACTGTCACCAGGGGCAACCACTGGAGGCCCCGGACCTGCCTTCCCATTGGTCCTTCTCTTTTTAGGGAGCAGCAACTTCCTCTTTGGGTGAAACTTAAGGTTCAAAGATGACACAGCTGGAGGCTGGAGGAGTTCCCATTTAAAAGCATTTTGCAAAAGGAAAGAATGAAAAAAAAAACCCACAAAAGCCCAGCATTTTGTCTTTGGAACAGGGCGAGCGCCCTCCCGGCTCCACTGGCCCTCTGGGTGTTTGCACACCCTGACAAAGACCACCTGTGGCATCGCAAGAGTGAAATGTGTGGGGACGTGGAGAGCAGCTACTTGGTGGGACCTGGACAATTACGGGCAGAAAGTGGGTCGAGGGGGCCCTCCAGAGGTCCAGCTGCCTCCCTCCCTTCCTACAGAACAAGCTTGGAAACATCTGCAAGGCGGCTCCTGGTTCCCATCTGGGAGGATTTCAAAATGAAAGTGTGGGGTCGGAGGGATAGTCCAGTGGGGAGGGTGTTTGCCTGGCACGCGGGTATTCAATCTCACGCATCCCATGAGGGCTCCCCCCAAATACGACCTGCAAGAATTCCTGAGCCTTGCCCAGCTATGGCCCCCAAACAAAAACAAAGACCAAATCCCAAAGTAGGGGGATGGCTGGAGCGGTCGAACAGTGGTAGGGTGTTTGCCTTGCACGCAGCCAACTTGGCCGACCTGAGTTCGATTCCTCCGCCCCTCTCGGAGAGCCCGGCCAGCTACCGAGACTGGGAAGCTCCCCGTGGCGTATTCGATATGCCAAACACAGTAACAACAAGTCTTAGAATGGAGACGTTACTAGTGCCTGCTCGAGCAAATCAATGAACAATGGGAGGACACTGCTACAGTGCTTAAAACCCAAAGTAGCACTGTAGCACTGTCCTCCCGTTGTTCATCGACTTGCTGGATACTGGGTACCAGCAACGTCTCCATTGTAAGACTTGTTGCTGTTTTTGGCATTTCGAATACGCCATGGGGAGCTTGCCAGGCTCTGCCGTGCGGGTGGGATACTCTCGGTAGCTTGCTAGGCTCTCTGAGAGGGATGGAGGGATCGAACCTGGGTCAGCCAGGTGCAAGGCAAATGCTCTACCTGCTGGACTATCGCTCCGCCCTAAAACCCAAAGTAGAGGCTGGAATTGTTTTTGTCTTTCCTCAACACCCCTCCACCCGCAGGGGACGTTACAGCAGGGGCTCCCTTTGGCCCATTTATGCTGGGGTCGTTCCTGAGGCCACAGTCAGGGTTTGGGAGGGCAAAATGAAGCCTGGGCCCTGCAGGGCGCTCTTGCTGGCCCAGAAACCCTCTGGCTCTGCCCAATCACACCCCAGGCACTCATGGGTTGGACTAACTCCAGTATCTTCCTTCCTTCCTTCCTTCCTTCCTTCCTTCCTTCCTTCCTTCCTTCCTCCCTCCCTCCCTCCCTCTCTCTCTGTTTCCTTTTTTTTTTTTTGCCTGGAGCATGATAGATTCACATCAAATTTGTGAAGGAATAAGGCTCCCTTATCTCCCTGCTCCCAGACAGACTAGATTTTGTCCCCAGACCTCCTGAAATTCAGAAGTGGAGCAGGAATGCCCAAACCCACTCCTCCGCTTCAAGATCTCAATTACGTTTCTTGGGAAACGGGGAGGAAGTAAGCAGGGAGGGAAGGGAGGGGAGCGAAGCCCATAAATTTGAACCGAGTCCGGCACAAGGTGGAGTTGAGACTTCAAAATACATTTTTAATTGAATTTTGTTTGGGGTGGGTAGAGAGTCTGGGCCATATCCAGCGGTACCCTGTGCTCAGGGATCACTCCTGATAGCAGCTGGGGGTCCACATGGGGTGCGGAGGATCAAACCCAGGTCGGCTGTGTGCATGGCAAGTGTCGAACTCCTAGGCAGACAACTCTCTCCAGCCTGAGGGTTTGGGCTTCTGTTAACTCTAGCTGACAGGGCCCTGAGTAATTCCAGGGGTAGGAACACCACTGCCCCACATTCAAAAATCCAACTCTTAACTTCCAGTCGCCTGCCAA